ACTGTTGGAGTTATGGTTTGGGGTGCTATAGCTTATGGTTCCAGGTCACCTTTAATCTTCATCAGAGGTGGTAACATGAATGCGCAGCTTATATCCACGAAGTTCTAGAACCCCATCTTTTACCCTATCTTGACACCCTGGCAGATCCAACTTTCCAACAAGATAATGCCGACCACATGTTGCAAAGTCACAATAGACTTCTTTCAACATAATGATGTCACATTGTTACCATGGCCACCAAGATCTCCCGACTTATCCCCAATTGAGCACGTGTGGGTATGATGGGTAGGAGATTGCTCAATTTGCAACGTCCTCCTCAGACTCTAGAAGCACTTCGAGAGGAGTTGGTGGTTGCCTGGAATGAGATACCACAGGGGACTGTGACCACCTGATCAGAAGCGTGCCTAGGCGCGTTGGAGAATGCGTGCACATCAGGGTGCATCCACACATTATTAAATCAAAGGGCTTTAAGCAGTGCAATCATTTTGAAATTTTTATCATTACTTATTATGCTTCATTAAGTACTTATCAAATTTTATTAAAATAAAACCATTTCAACTGGGTGTTCTGATTTATATGTCACTTAGTAAATCTTAGCGCCATCTATCAAGTAAATTCTAAATTTCGCTCTCATACATGGCACTAGGATCTTTTAGATCCTTTTTGGGGTGCGGTATAGTTGGTTCTCGACAGGTATAAAACGTCGATGAATGACAACAGTCATTTATGATTGCTTATCACACCATAAACCTTTGGGAACTTGCAATAAAATTCACGCCTTCGACTCGAGAGGGCATACAAAAAGGTAATTGTCGTTGCGGAAAACTGCACGAATGCGAAGGTAGATTGCATGCTCAAACTCTGCAAAAGAACGATTACAAAATATTGACTGGACTAAATTGGACTAAATGACGGTATGATCAGTGGCGTAGCTAGATGGTCTGTCCGATACGTTAAAGTGTATTGAAATGGATCAGCATTTATAATATGATGAGCAGTATTTAACCGAGATAACAGTGGTACTTCTAATTGTTTGAATGTTGAAAATACCAAACAGTAATATTATAACGAGAAAATTAAGAATTCGACATTTCATCATTTCTACAACCAAACATGTTTTGATAGATAACTGTTTTGTATATGGGCGGTTTCTCGAATCTCGCACTCGACATTTTTACTTCGACAAAATCTCGAAAAGCTTAGACCTGGCGATAATGAATAACGCACGATTTTTTCACCGTCTGCTTGAAAATACTTTTTTCTTCGTTGTTGAACACCTTTTCCAACACTCGCCTTAAAATCCCATAGCTTTACAAAAGTGATTTCGTATGCGACACTGATATCTATATGACAACCCCAATTCGCTGAAGCGTTCCACAAATCTCGGATGCGAAACTCGAGAAAATCCGCCATGAGACGCCAGGGAAGATACCTTGAGTATCAAGAAGCGATTCGTAGCTTCTGATTCATGATACTACAAAAAGAAATAAGTTCTTATAGTAGTGTCTGACATGTACTTTTAACTTCTTTGCATGAAATAAGTTCTTATACTAGTGTCTGATATGTACTTTTAACTTCTTTGCATTCTTGGCATATACGAGTCAAAAGTGTCCTCTACCAAGTTACCAACGTTTCTACGTTTATTTTTCGCCTTCCTCAGGACTATCAACTGAGGCCCAAACACGTCCCAAGGGATAACAAACATCTCTTAGGTCAGCTATGAAAAACAAATAAATGGATATAACATGGAAAAACAAAAGTTTTTAAATATCTAGTAATTAAAAAGAACCACATATATCCAGAATAATGAATTAAACATAATCTTCTGCTGAACCTTTGTGACATTGACAGCTCAGACGACCACGGTCATCCCTCTTATTCCTTTATAAATCGATGAATGATATTATTGATTGTCCAGATCTTTTATCGCTGTTAAATTCAATGTTTCCTAGTTTAATTACAGACAGTCTTTAACATTTTTTTTATATTGCTGCTAGCACAAATTTAATGTTAAAATCACCATTATCAGTAATGAGTTCACATTAAAGTATCGCAGCACGTCGACACATTTAAACTCAAGAAGTTGAAGTGTGCTACTAGGAATGTGTCACAAAAGACGTGTGTGTTTTGGGCTATAAATGCTTTTTTATTATTAATATGACTATTAGAGATATTAAGGAGGAATTCAATATGTTTCCCCTATGTCGAGGACACCCTGTGCTAAACATCCACGCTACGCCTCTTGCACGGTCGACCCTCCTCCTATCATTATCTCCTCTTTTTCTACCCTATACCCTCATCAGAGCATGACATAAAATCAATAGTTATATCGCCACGCTGGGATGGTCTGTCTATGCTCCTGTCCCTGGCTGTCACTACCTGCCTGCGATCAGCTGGTAGTTTGCTAACGTATTTATGGCATGCTGGTGTTTACCGTGCCGTTTGTGCATCTCGCAACCCCACAAGGACGTAACCAGCCACTGTCCTTGCCTTGACTAGCGGGCAGCCAGCCATTGAATGAATGCAAGAGGGGAGGGGGTATAAGGGAGAAGAGAAAGGGTCGGAGGGATGATACCGACTTCGTTGCACCACAGTTCCACAAAGGGAAACGTCTCAATGCGGTGCGGTATAGCAGGTTATAGATTCCAGGAAAAGGGAACGGACGATTTTGTCTAGGGCACACTGGGGCGTGTCGAATGTCCCTAGTTTCGCGGGGATTTTTCTCATCAGTATGCATTGTCGGGAGAATCCTTTTAAAATTGATTCCCCACCGTCTCCGGCTATCGAATTACGTAACTTGATGTGACATTATACGGATTTTTAATGACATTAGGTAGGTTGTTCCGAAAAAATGTCACCTTGGAACTAGCTGTCATTCGCTACATATCCACTTGTACAGGCTGTGCGTGTTGCCTAAATATGGTTTGGCTCTGATGTAACAACTGCTTCATAGATGACACTAGTGGAGAAAATTCATAGCTTCTATGGCTTAAGATGTATAGGTCGTTGTACCATTCACAGCGAGTCCGCGTCACGAGGACAAGCCAGTACACAAGTTGACATTAAACCGATTTTCAAGGACAATAGCCGAGCGGTGATATAACAGAACGCTGCCCAGGACACTGGAGGCCAGGACGCCTAGCAGGGATTTTACTTAAAAATGACGTTAAAAATCGGTATATATACATACCATATATGTCAACTTGTGTACTAGCTAGTTCCTAATCCATGCCACGCTGTGCGCGCCATCTATGAAGGTATGGAACTACGTCCTATAAAGATACAGCTTAAGCCATAGGCGCTATAAATGGCCTGCACTAACGAAATCTCTGAAGAGACGAGAGACAAACCATACATACTAAGTGACATATAATCCGAACACCCAGTTTAAATGGTTTTATTTTAATAAAAGTTGGTGAATGTATTTATCTTACTGTAAATAACAAGTGAAAAAATTTTCAGCCTATCAGTTGGACATTCCGGTTTTTATACGGCTTTTTTTTTTAATTCACTAACGCTCTAAAAATGAATATTTCAGCCGCAGTAAAGAATCAACGTTGGCGGATTTTGGTTCTTGACATCCTTTACGATCGGTTACGATGCCTAGAGTACGGAGACCTGTACGATTTCGTCAGTGTGCGAAGTGTTTACCGACGAATGAGAAGTTTGGCTTGTTTTCATACCGGCACACTGGGTCCTCCCTTTAACTCGAGAACACCGACGTAATCGCCTTGAGTGGTGCAGACAACGGTCACTCTGGGATCAGGAATGGAACAGTATTGTCTTTAGTGACGAGTCTCGATTTTGTTTAGGCATGCACGATGGTCGTGCCAGGGTTAGAAGGCGACGTGGTGAAAGGAGGAATCCACAGTTTTTTGTTGAAAGACATGTTCATCACACTGTTGGAGTTATGGTTTGGGGTGCTATAGCTTATGGTTCCAGGTCACCTTTAATCTTCATCAGAGGTAACATGAACGCGCAGCGTTATATGCACGAAGTTCTAGAACCCCATCTTTTACCCTATCTTGACACCCTGGCAGATCCAACTTTCCAACAAGATAATGTCCGACCACATGTTACAAGAGTCACAATAGACTTCTTTCAACATAATGATGTCACATTGTTACCATGGCCACCAAGATCTCCCGACTTATCCCCAATTGAGCACGTGTGGGATATGATGGGTAGGAGATTGCTCAATTTGCAACGTCCTCCTCAGACTGTAGAAGCACTTCGAGAGGAGTTGGTGGTTGCCTGGAATGAGATACCACAGGAGGACATTGAGCACCTGATCAGAAGCAAGGCGCATTGGAGAATGCGTAGCACATCAGGGTGCATCCACACATTATTAAAGGTCAAAGGGCTTTAAAGCAGTGCAATCATTTTGAAATTTTTATCATTTACTTATTATGCTTCATTAAGTACTTATACAAAATTTTATTAAAATAAAACCATTTAAACTGGGTGTTCGGATTTATATGTCACTTAGTATAGCTTAAGAATCATGACGTTTAAGCAACATGCATATGAACTGCAAGTGAACTTGCAGTGACTGTCAACTAGTTACTCGGTGATATTTTTTCGGAAAAACGTACATAATGTCATTGAAAATCAATATGTCACTTTTTAAGTTGCGTGATACGGGTGCCGCTCCTAAGTATTTTTTTCATCACAAAGTGACAGTTCTGACCGTTCGTCCTCACTTCTTGCCTAGCAAATAACGAAACACCGAATGGGCGATAAATATGAAAAAATAATCATCACGAGTCTATCTGGCTTGAACAACTTTTGATAGCAGAGCTCTTTCTCGCCGAGAAATCATAGAACGAGACGCCGAGAAATCATTCACAGCAAGGACTCCCGACAATTTTCGGCGAGAATTTGGATGAGGTAATTACGTTGTCTGTCTCGGGAATTCGTTTGAATAGAACATGAAATACTAACGCCATTCAGAGAACGCCCGAACCTAAAAACAAGGCAAAAAACTATTTACATTCATAGGTCACAAAAAATAGAAATTGTTAACCTAGGTGAATATTTTCTGAGCGCAACCACATTTTTACACCAACCAAAATACAAAATAGAACCAACAAAAGGTACTGTCAGTATACGTAAACCAAAGTATAATCAAGACGATTGTATCCTTTCCACCAAAATTTATGATAATCCATTTCCATATTCCTAATTTGAACATGAAAAATGAAAATGATAAAACCCATCGAATAATGGAAATGTAGTCAAATATAAAACTACATATCCAAATTCATGATTTTAACTTTTTACTAGAAACAACATCTCTTTCTTCAAGAATTATTTCTTTGTTTAATTATTTCAATATCCTTCATGGTGATAATGACATTAAGCTATAAATGTTTCGGAACTTGTTTTGCATCAAACATTCAGCAAAAACTGTCTAATTCAGGAATATCATACATGCAATATACAGGGTGTCCTGAACTTTTAGACTTTCCTATTATGAAATAACGACGTTTGGAATAACTAATTTGTGGTAAAACAGCAGCGAAAACCTAAAAAAGAAATTGAAGATGGATTTTACACGATATAAACAAACCTACGCAGCTCCGATGGAAACATTGAGGAAGTTCTGAATACATTCGCGGAGCATCAGTATAGGACCTTGAAGACGCTCACAGTAAAGTAAATCGAATCGATAAATACGTTATTGCTGTAGTAATGTACCAATTTCGGTTTTTCAAAAGACATTTGTTTATAAACCTGGTTACCCTACACACCGAGCGGCGCCTAATTTGGTATCACAAAACATCCGTTTGCACTTGGGAGGAGAGGGAGGCGGCCCATTATGAATTTTTCGGAACTAAACATCTCTCAAGGCTTTGGCATGTGTTGCTAAGAAAACGGATTAATTGACTGACTATAAAGGAAAGTCCAAGTTTCATGACACCATGTATGTATATTTAAGCCAAGTCCTACCTTTGGAGGGTTAAGTATCCTCGGGAAGAAGTAGAGCTCATCCTGCGCGACCTCCGGGTCGTGCTGGTACTTGCGCAAACCCTCTTGGGACAACCTCCTGATCTGCCTGTTGATCTCATCGTACATCGACGTGCATATATACACGTCCGCCTCTGGGATCTCCGTAGGCCGGTCTATAACGTCCAAACCGTTTTTGTTACATCATCTCTATCACTTACCTTTTCGATAAGTTAATTCAGCACTATTTCAAATTAATTTCAAAAAGTCGATTTTGCGTTTCTACCTATGATCGTTATTTGGATTTACTGGTTAATCGCATGGGATGTTAAATACGTATTTATAGGCAAAATACTTGGAATATTAAGATTAAAAATCTTTGAATACATCAGCTATTATCTCACCATTATCTCTACTAATATTATAAATGTTAAAAAAATAAAACCTTATTAGTAGTTGAAATAAGGGGTAAAAGTGACTATTATTCTATAGATCGGAGATACAAATGCGGGGTTTTTATTTTTGGTTCTTTGATTTAATGTAAATGAACAGATACAAATTTTTTTTAGAAATTGTACCTATAAGGGGTGAAATGGTAACATTATGGAAGCTAAAGAACCTTCATTATTTCAAATTATGCCAACCTAGAAGTAGCTGTAGGTTTTGCCTATAATTTCATCTTTAGAATTAAAAGCATTAACCAATATTTCCAGAAATTATATCCCTAGGATGGAGTACGATAGGGTTGGATATTTCTATTTTGCAACAGGGCTGATTAAAGGCGGCTAAGGGCAGATATATGTAAAGCGTAAATATCTGCTCACAACCCCAAAATCTCGGAAGCTATTTGACCTCTGAATATGAAAATTGGCAGAGATGCAGCTTATGGACCGTCTATGTCAGCTAAGAACAAATTTCGGAACAGGGCTCAATTAAGGGCATATATATCTGACTGATTTAAATTGCGCGCCATTTTTGATTCACGCATTTCAGTAGGTGGCACCGTAGTAGTTTAAAGCACGTGTCCAATTCATTATGGAGCGCGTTACTTGCAACGAAGCAACGACAAGATTTTGTTCGAAATAATGTGCTCAGTGTCAACACCATTCGTGAGTTGGTGCGGAAAATTAAACAAACAGATGAAGTTAAAGATTTGCCAAGGTCGGGCCGAGGTCGAACTGTTCGTACTCCAGAAAATGTCGAGTAGTTGTTTAAAGCACATGTGTCCAATTCATCATGGAGCGCTACACGAACCCACAACGCGTCTGTACTGTTGAAACGTTTTACTTAATGAGTCGATTGTTGCAACGATTCGGAAGCTACGACAAGATTTCAGAAGAAATAATGTGCCCAATGTCAACATCATTCGTCTGTTGGTGCGGATATTTGAACAGGTGAAGTTAAGGACTTGCCAAGCTCGCGCCGTGTTCGAACTGTTCGTACTCCGGAAAATATCGAGAGAGTTCGTGAAAGCGCCCTGAGACGTCTACCAGACATCGTTCTCAAGAACTGGGTATTCGTCGCACGTCATAATGCTCTATTTTAAAAAAAGATTTGCATATCCAGCTATATAAAATTTAGTTAACACAAGAACTACAGGAATACCCAAAATAACGATTATTACCGACAACATTATGAGCGATGAAGCCGACTTCGAAATGAACGGATTTGCTACAATCTGAATTGTCGTATCTGGGCATCAGAGAATCCTTTGTGTCATCCATCAACTACCACTAGATCCTCGTCGAGTCACAGTTTGGTGCGGTGTTTGGTATGGAGGAGTCATTGAACATTACTTCTTTGAAGACGCTGCAGGTAATTCTCTTAGTGTCACTGGCGAGCGCTACCGCGATACGGTGCAAAACTTTCTGGCTCCTCAAATTCAACAATTTAACCTGCAAAACATGTGGTTCCAGCAGGACGGAGCAACTTATCACACAGCTAGAGAAACAATCTTTTGCGAACAATATTTCCGAGACGTTTAATTTCTCGATTTGGTGATTTCAACTGGCCACCTAGGTCACCGGATCTAACGGCTCTTGACTTTTTTATGGGAATTTTTGAAAAATGTAAGCCAACAAACCAAATAATGTAGAGCAGCTGAGCAACAAGCGATTGAAAATATTCCTCCCGAAACCTACCAAAAAGTGATTGAAAATGTAATCAAGAGGGCTCACGTTTGCGCGGCTTCCAGAGGCGGACATTTGCCTGATATTATTTTTGATACATAATTTCTAAGTTTCAATAAAAGATTAAGATGAAAAAATGGACGTATTTTATTTCATTTCACAAATATTCAAGATACAAACCAGTCAGTTACATATCGGCCACCCTGTATGTGCCAAAGCGAAAAGGTGCTCGTTAATAACGAAAGTTCGAGAACAATTTGACCTGTGGACATGAAATTCCGTAGAAAAGTAGTTTATGGACAGAAAATGTCAGCTGAGAATGGATTTCACATCAGGGCTGAATTAAGGGGAATAAAGGCAAACCTACAATTTAGTAGGAAGGTAGTTTATACGCGGTAAAGAACGGATTTTGCTACAGGAACCGTATTAAGGGGTTTATAGGGTGTAGCGTTGAAATTCTTTGAATTTCCCTGCTAGATAAGTAAAATTTGCAATAATGAGGTTCTTTACAGTAGAGTAGAGGTTTAAAATCACAATTTTATAAATAAAGGGGGTCTCAACAAGAGCGCCGGATTTGAATTTGCCGACATTTTTTTGTACAAATGCTATAGTGTTTACTTAATGACAGCTGTCATGTCCAGACCACGCGATTAGACGTCATGGAGCAGAATTCAAACGAGCAACGTTTAATTATACTAAGTGACATATAAATCCGAACACCCAGTTTAAATGGTTTTATTTTAATAAAATTTTGTATAAGTACTTAATGAAGCATAATAAGTAAATGATAAAAATTTCAAAATGATTGCACTGCTTTAAAGCCCTTTGACCTTTAATAATGTGTGGATGCACCCTGATGTGCTACGCATTCTCCAACGCGCCTAGGCATGCTTCTGATCAGGTGGTCAATGTCCTCCTGTGGTATCTCATTCCAGGCAACCACCAACTCCTCTCGAAGTGCTTCTAGAGTCTGAGGAGGACGTTGCAAATTGAGCAATCTCCTACCCATCATATCCCACACGTGCTCAATTGGGGATAAGTCGGGAGATCTTGGTGGCCATGGTAACAATGTGACATCATTATGTTGAAAGAAGTCTATTGTGACTCTTGCAACATGTGGTCGGGCATTATCTTGTTGGAAAGTTGGATCTGCCAGGGTGTCAAGATAGGGTAAAAGATGGGGTTCTAGAACTTCGTGGATATAACGCTGCGCGTTCATGTTACCTCTGATGAAGATTAAAGGTGACTTGGAACCATAAGGTATAGCACCCCAAACCATAACTCCAACAGTGTGATGAACATGTCTTTCAACAAAAAACTGTGGATTCCTCCTTTCACCACGTCGCCTTCTAACCCTGGCACGACCATCGTGCATGCCTAAACAAAATCGAGACTCGTCACTAAAGACAATACTGTTCCATTCCTGATCCCAGAGTGACCGTTGTCTGCACCACTCAAGGCGATTACGTCGGTGTTCTCGAGTTAAAGGGAGGACCCAGTGTGGCCGGTATGAAAACAAGCCAAAACTTCTCATTCGTCGGTAAACACTTCGCATGCCAATAGGTCTTCCGTGTTCTGCAAACCATTCATTTGCAATGGACCTGGTAGTGGAGAAACGGTCCCTTAAGGCCAATAATCTTAGGCGGCGATCTTCACGGTCTGTTGTTCTACGGCGGCGTCCAGTGCCCCTTGCTCTTTGCGTACGGCCTTCTCGAAGCCATGCCTGACAACACCTAACCACAGTGTCTACACTTCTTTGCACACTAACTGCAATTGCCCGAAAAGAAAGTCCAGCTTCCCGAAGTCCCACTATACGGCCCCTATCAAACTCACTAAGTTGACGAAATCGTACAGGTCTCCGTACTCTAGGCATCGTAACCGATCGTAAAGGATGTCAAGAACCAAAATCCGCCAACGTTGATTCTTTACTGCGGCTGAAATATTCATTTTTAGAGCGTTAGTGAAAAAAAAGCAGTATAAAAACCTGAATGTCCAACTGGTAAGGCTGAAAATTTTTTCACTTGTTATTTACAGTAAGATAAATACATTCACCAACTTTTATTGAAATAAAAACATTTAAACTGGGTGTTCGGATGTATATGTCACTTAGTATATTATGAAAACTCACTACAAAACTGGAGAAAATTAAGCGGAAACAAATTATGCACAATTTTCGGTCGCAATACTGGCCAAATGTGTCGACAGTTCGCCGTTTAGTTACAAAATAAGAGACAAAATTCACGTTGCTGAATGTGAAGACCACTGTTCGTCGCCGTCCTGGTCGGTCCCTCGAAAATATAGTTGCAGTGACGGAAAGTGTGGCCGAGAATCCAGGCACTTCCATTCGGCAACGTGGCCAAGAATTGAACCTTACCAGACCCACTTTTCAACGAATTTTGACAAAAGATATGTGTTTGCATGCGTCCAAGCTTTCAACTGACGCAAGAACTCAAGCCAACGGACCAAACTGATGCTGATTTCTCGAAGAAAATCATTTTTTTCTCTGATGAGGAACATTTTCAACTGAACGGGTACGTCAATAAGCTGAACTGCCGAATTTGGGGTTCTGAAAACAGTCGTATAATGCATCCGCCGCGGGTTACCGTTTGGTGCGCATTGTAGAATGGCGGAGTGATTGGAGCATATTACTTCGAAAATGCAGCTGGAACTGGTAATGGTGTGCGGTTAAGACCAGCAATGATTTACGCATGTGCTAAAACACACATGCGAAATCTGCAGGTTCTGCAAAGCAGGACGTTGCGCACTATTGCTGATGCCCCATGGTATGTCTCTAACGAAACTCTACATAGAGACCTCGATATCCCTTACCTAAAGGACTACATTAAGCAACAGGCGCAGCGGCGCTATAGCCTAGCGGAATCGCACAGCAACCCTCTGTTGCGTGAGTCAGTGGACCACACAGTCGAGCAAGTTACCAAGCACAAAAGGCCGCGGCTCGCACTGTAATCAAAATTAACTCGTGAACTTAGAACAAAATTTGAGCATTTTGACACAATCTTTAGAAAAAATCAAATATTTTTAGACCATATCAAAATCTGTGAAGTGATTTTAACAATGCCTAAACGCTGCCTATCCTAAAAGATTCTCTTCTCCCCCTTTGCTCTCGTTCTTCCTTCTCTCCTTTCCTTCCCCTTTTTTCCTTAAAATTGTCTGGTTTCTGGGTTACCAGACCTGACAGACTTACAAACTGACACTGTGACTCAAGAGCTGAGGTCCCACGGACCGCTCTGACAACCAACGATGACTTGACTTGTTAATGGCGTGCGCTATCGTGAAATGTTAACCGAGTTTTTCTGGCCCCAGTTGGATCGAATTGATATGGAGGATATGCTCTTCCAACAGGACGGTGCGACCTGTCACACAGCACGCGAAACAATTGTGTTACTGCGGACCAAGTGTCCAGACGGTGTCATCACTCGGTTTCGCGATCAAAATTGGCCAAGATCGTGCGATCTAACGCCAATGGACTTCTTCCTCTGGGGCTATGTGAAGGAAACGCTGTATGCGAACGAGCCGAAAACAGTTGAACGCCTTAAAGAAGAGATACGGCGCGTTATCGACGAAATAGAGCCACAGTTGTGCGAAAACGTTATCCAGAATTTTACGAAAAGACTGACCCTCAGTCAGAGGTTTCGTGGTGGTCATTTAGCGGATGTCCTATTTCATGTTTAATCGCAATTATTCATCTTCATGTTAAAATATAAATACTCGCTTAATTCGGAAATAAATTGTGTTTTTCTTGAAAATCAAATCCGGCGCTCGTATTGAGACACCCTTTTTTCCCTTTTCTAACTAGAAACTAGGCAGGTATTTTCACAATGTAAAATTTGGTTTAATCTGTGTTAAATTTAAAATGTTAGTTATTTAAACAGCTTAATGCCAACGAAGTACATGTAATGATGTATAGATATTAAACCAAAATACATCAGATTAAATTGGACAACATGCATGCAATAATGTTTCCCCCTATAAAAAGTCATGAAACACTTCATATTTCAGAGCTGGCTTCTTCAGCTTTCAAACATTTTTAATCCCTTTCATTATCATATATTTATTTAATATAAAGCATGCATCGTACTTACACATTATGTAATCATTATACTCCATCACATGGCACCTGCCAATAATACTGACAATGGGGTTGACATCTTCTAGTGTCGACAGGAAGACCTCTTGGCGGTAGAAGAGCTTGCCGGGAGTTGGAGGAATGTCCGAGGGGGTGATGAACCAGGGTCCGCGGAAATAGCACTTGCCACTGTAATGAAAAAGAAGTCAAGATTTACTCGCATTTTACTTTTCTGCCTTAGTGCGTTTATTATTGCAAATGATGACGAACTGAGCACAAATTTCTTTCATTTCTCAGATCTCCATTTTTGGAACGTTTGTAGGTGTACTTTGTGTGGTCACAGATTCCCAATTGATGATTTACCTAGTTTCCTTTGGCAACATTTAATTTACATTCTTCATTTTGGTACAGAAAGACAATGGATCAGAGCAAGTCTTATGAGAAGCTTATACTTACTCCTTGGTCTCCCAGATATGATCAATTTGAGCAATGATCTGCTTTCCTCCCTCAGCCACAACATACACAAAGTCGCCAGTCTTAACCACGCCCGAACAAATCGTGTTGAACTGTTCATAGTACGTGTTGCCGTCGTCTATTGACATACCCGCTGGTACCGGAATATTCTGAAAAAAAAGATGTTGTCACATGAATAATTTGCGTCACACTATACAAAAACTTATAAAGGCGAGTAGAGACTAAAAATTGTTGGAAAATTTGCAAAAATAATACTTTCCAGGCCAACTGGTGAGAAGGTATCATAATCGTAAAAAAAAAAACGAAATCTAGATATCATGTTTTTTGGATGTTCATGGAAAACAGTGCCTTCCCATCATGTCGATTTGTTCGTATTTTGATGAAATTTTCGTATAAAATTGCTATAATTCCAAGACGAAAAACCTATGAGCAAAAAGACATACTTTTCAGAACCTCTCAAAAATCCTCGGATTTCTGATAATATTTCGGCATGATCAATAAACATTTTTTGGAAAGAAAAAACGTTTATCCGTGCTTTTCAACTTGCTGGTCGTATTTTTATTAAAAAAGGACAACTTACCGGTTTCTCCTTCTGGATAAGCTGCTCCTGTTCCTCAAGTTCAGCAAGCTCGTCCTTGTGTTTTTCCACCCTTTCCCGGAATACTGACATCACCCTCTTCGGTTCCAAAGGCGTTTCTCTAGGTACCAACTTGATTGTCGGGTTTTCAGGGTAAATCTTGATCTTCTTGAAGTTACGATTTCGCACTGAATATCGAGATTCACACACGTAAACGTCTTTGTCTTCAAAACCTATAACAGAAAATAGAAACGTTAAGAAAATGGCAGAATCATTGTCATGAGTTCTGTAACGTTCAAACTGTTTGGCCGGCTCAAACCAGATATGTTCTACTTGCTCTTTATTGTACGACATGACGGCTTTTTCAATGACATTTAAAAGCCGTACAATAAACAGAAATTAAAACATATATGTATACAGGGCGTTTCAGTTTATTGTTGCATAACTTTAAGATTCGATAGAACTTTTAAAATTAATGCATAAAGTCTATATAAACATGGATCGAAAAATGCGTGGCTTCCGAAATACAGGGTGTTTAAATTTACTTTCTAAAATAGTTTTTTTTTTTAAATATTTCGAACACTATTTGATGTATAACAGTGAAAATTGGTATACAAGGGTTTTTTGGTACGACAAAACGAACCATGGGCATAGTTTTACTGTAGCCGCTAGAGGACGCTCTCTACTGTACCTGTAGTGTATTAAAATGACCGAAAAATTTTTCTTAGTGCAATTTTTTGCTTTTTGAATAAAAAAAATGATTCTTCGTACTTTTCAACATAAAAAAGCTCTCTTGTGATTTTTCGTTATAGTTAGCCGTTTTTGAGATATTTCGATTTTTAAGGTTCGATGCATTTTTAAGTATTTATGATAAAATAACGTTAAAAAGTCAGTATCTCGATAATTTTTAGAAGTCGGCTCTGCCTGCAAATATTTTTGAAATTGAAAGGAGAATAAGGTTAAACGTCAATTAGTTGACAGTTAGTTTTGTTGTCTGTTGAAACCTGAAACGTTTTTTTGCACTTGTGAATGCACGAAATTTAGCTCCTTTTACCTGTTTTTTTTTGTAAGTTTTATAAAAATGCCATTTTTATTCTCAAATCAAGAGTTAGCGGATATTCATTTTGTGTATGGCTTTGTAAATGGAAACGCAGCAGAAGCAGCCAGAGAATACGCACGAAGATTTCCAAACAGACGACATCCAACTCGCTCAGTATTTGTAAGAGTGCATCGCCAAATAATTGAAAATGGTTTTGGAAATCTCCAAAGGGATCAAAACATAAATGTTCGTCACACCGACCACAAGTGTTAGGAGAGTTTCTGGTGCCTTGGGAATTTCAGCAAGCCATGTTCAGCGTGTTCTTAGAAATGACCATAGATGTCCTTACCATTTGCAACCTGTGCAAGGACTACAACCAGGGGGCGGAGAACGAAGAATCACATTTTGTCAGTGGATTCTTGATAGAACTGATAATAATAGGGAGTTTTTAAGTAACGTTTTATGGACCGCTTCACTAGACGTGGAGAGGTAAATTTTCATAATCAACATATTTGGTCGCATGAAAATCCGCATGCAGTGCGGGAAAGAAATTTTTAGCATGAATTTAGTGTGAACGTGTGGTTTGGTATATACCATAATCGACTATTTGGACCCTACCTTTTGCCTGCAAGGTTAAATGCTGCGGCCTTCTTGGAATTTTTAAAGGCTGAACATGCAAATATGTGGGATGATGTTATGTTAGATTTAAGAAGATTGGCCTGGTTCCAGCTTGATGGTTGTCCAGCTCATTATTCGAGAATAGTTAGAAACTGGCTGGACGAAAATTATCCAGAAAGATGGATCGGCCGTGGAGGACCAGTCGCCTGGCCTCCACGATCCCCTGAGCTAAATCCATTAGATTTCTTTGTGTGGGGATTTCTAAAAGAAAAAGTGTACCAGACTCCCGTAACCACAAGAGATATGCTAATAGACAGAATCAAGAATGCATGTGATGAAATAACGCCTTATTTGAATAATGCTATACCACGTTCGATCATTCGTAGATGTGAATTGTGTATTGAACAATTGGGTTTACATTTCGAGCAACTACTTTAGATTTTGTATGTTTGTCCTAACTATCCAATAACATTTTAGTGGTAAATAATTAATTTAATTTGTTAAAAATAATATTGGAAACTTAAACAAATTAATATTCTGTTCTTTTGTGTTTATTTGGAGTTAGGAATTATTGCTGTGTTTAAAAACACGATCTAAACGATCATCTTAATTACTTGTAATGCCCAAATCGAAAATGTAAAAAAAAAATATTATTTTCCCATAAATAATTTAAAATGCATCGAACCTTAAAAATCGAAATATCTCAAAAACGGCTAACTATAACGAAAACTCACAGGAGACCTTTTTTATGCAGAAAAGTGCGAAGAATCAGTTTTTTTATTCAAAAAGCAAAAAATTGCACTAAGAAATTTTTTTCGGTCATTTTAATACACTACAGGTACAGTAGAGAGCGCACTCTAGCGGCTACAGTAAAACTATGACCATGGTTCGTCTTGTCTTACCAAAAAACCCTTGTATACCAATTTTCACTGTTATACATCAAATATTGTTCGAAATATTTAAAAAAACTATTTTAGAAAGTAAATTTAAACACCCTGTATTTCGGAAGCCACGCATTTTTCGACCCATGTTTATATAGACTTTATGCATTAATTTTAAAAGTTCTATCGAATCTTAAAGTTATGCAACAATAAACTGAAACACCCTGTATGAAAAAGAACTTGAATAATTCACAAACGACAAAAAAACAGTGTTCAAAACATGTTTTAAACAGTTTAAAACAAATTGGTTTAAAACACCTTCATTGTTTTAAACAGTGATTAAAACGTAACAACCCTGGTCATATGCACATGAAAACCACAGGAGTTACACTACTCAAACTGTTATTTAAAAAATTATGTTTTGATAAAGTAACGACAAAATCAGAAGCAGGTAATCTTAATATGCCACCATTTTACGAGCCTCACCGCCCGATGGCGCCACTATCGCAAGAGATCTTAACTATCCTAAATATGTTCGTAACTTAAACAAAATCATTTATACGCCACCGAGATGCGAGGCGTCAACTAATCCCTGAGTTTTGAATCGCTATCGTTATTTCTATATATTGTTAAAACGATAATATGCGTACCCTCTGGCATCATGATATAGTACTGTTTGACATTGACCACGCAGCACTTTGATTTGATCTCCTCTAATGGGACAGTGACATGCTTCTCTGACTTGAACACCTCCCTCTCTAAAAACTTCCTCGTCGACAGATGGAAAGTTTCGGCTGGTCTTAGGTAATAGTTTCCGTACATCATCTTCTTGCCGGCATTTTCGAAAAAACGTTCTATGCACACTATGTGCGGTTCACAACCTTTTTCCTGAAAGAAAAAAATAGCACATCATATTTGATTCGGAGAAAAGTAGTCTGATCTATACTAAGTGACATATAAATCCGAACACCCAGTTTAAATGGTTTTATTTTAATAAAAGTTGGTGAATGTATTTATCTTACTGTAAATAACAAGTGAAAAAATGTTCAGCCTTATCAGTTGGACATTCCGGTTTTTATACTGCTTTCTTTAATTCACTAACGCTCTAAAAATGAATATTTCAGCCGCAGTAAAGAATCAACGTTGGCGGATTTTGGTTCTTGACATCCTTTACGATCGGTTACGATGCCTAGAGTACGGAGACCTGTACGATTTCGTCAACTTAGTGAGTTTGATAGGGGCCGTATAGTGGGACTTCGGGAAGCTGGACTTTCTTTTCGGGCAATTGCAGTTAGAGTGCAAAGAAGTGTAGACACTGTGGTTAGGTGTTGTCAGGCATGGCTTCGAGAAGGCCGTACGCAAAGAGCAAGGGGCACTGGACGCCGCCGTAGAACAACAGACCGTGAAGATCGCCGCCTAAGATTAATGGCCTTAAGGGACCGTTTCTCCACTACCAGGTCCATTGCAAATGAATGGTTTGCAGAACACGGAAGACCTATTGGCATGCGAAGTGTTTACCGACGAATCAGGAGTTTTGGCTTGTTTTCATACCGGCCACACTGGGTCCTCCCTTTAACTCGAGAACACCGACGTAATCGCCTTGAGTGGTGCAGACAACGGTCACTCTGGGATCAGGAATGGAACAGTATTGTCTTTAGTGACGAGTCTCGATTTTGTTTAGGCATGCACGATGGTCGTGCCAGGGTTAGAAGGCGACGTGGTGAAAGGAGGAATCCACAGTTTTTTGTTGAAAGACATGTTCATCACACTGTTGGTGTTATGGTTTGGGGTGCTATAGCTTATGGTTCCAGGTCACCTTTAATCTTCATCAGAGGTAACATGAACGCGCAGCGTTATATCCACGGAGTTCTATCATCTTTTACCCTATCTTGGCACCCTGGCAGATCCAACTTTCCAACAAGATAATGCCCGACCACATGTTGCAAGAGTCACAATAGACTTCTTTCAACATAATGATGTCACATTGTTACCATGGCCACCAAGATCTCCCGACTTATCCCCAATTGAGCACGTGTGGGATATAATGGGTAGGAGATTGCTCAATTTGCAACGACCTCCTCAGACTCTAGGAGCACTTCGAGAGGAGTTGGTGGTTGCCTGGAATGAGATACCACCTGATCAGAAGCATGCCTAGGCGCGTTGGAGAATGCGTTGCACATCAGGGTGCATCCACACATTATTAAAGGTCAAAGGGATTTAAAGCAGTGCAATCATTTTGAAATTTTTATCATTTACTTATTATGCTTCATTAAGTACTTATACAAAATTTTATTAAAATAAAACCATTTAAACTGGGTGTTTGGATTTATATGTCACTTAGTATATTTACTATGAGCTGAGCTGCAAAAGTGACTAAATATAAGAAATTCCTACTTCCACGAAACCAAGGATTGACATTTCAAGCCTCCTCATTGTATACTTATGGGTGATAGGACAGTTATCAAATACTGAAGGAACATTTAGTCCTCACCGAACAGGTTATAAATTATTAAACGATTGATGATTCTGGTGATTTTTTGGGGAATTGAAGTTGTTGAGAGGTTACTACATGCATGATAATAAGGAGTTCTCAGATCAAAACGCCACTTTCTTCCCCGAAAAAGATAAGTTTCTGTCACTCACAACTCAAGTCTCACAAGCCTCGTGAATTTAATAACAATTTCCAAATATTTTATAAGAATGAAAGTGACATACCTTCGCTTCTAAATACACGAACTCCCCAACCTTGAACGTCCTCTCCCCATCCTCCTTACAAGTAGTCATCTCCTCAGTTTGATCACTGCCCTTTGACTTGATGGTATCTGTGGCATCCTTGGAAGCATCGGTGTCGGTCTTGGAAGCTTCTGGCGTCCCTTCTGCACTCTCGGGTGCTCCTTCTGCCCCCTCAGGTGCTTTCCCCTCCTCGCCCCCTTCAGCAGGAGGCGGACCCCCTTCGGCGCCTTCAGCCGGTTCACCCTTGGTAAGCGCAGGGCCCATCACGACTGTAGAGTCGTCGGAACTGCGGGTTTCGCTAGCATCTTCTTCCAGGGATTCTTTCAGGTGTTTGCTTTGCCTTAGTTGCTCCACCTGTAATAAAATGGGATAAAATGAATCAATCGCTTAAAAAAAAATCACAAAAACGTCATTTACTGAATGGCATTATCTTGACACAGCGATGCTCCAATTTCTTTATATACACCTTGGGAAAAAACATTATTATACATTATGATGAGGAAGAGAGATGGAAATATACAAAAGTATGTAGGTGCGTGAAAGACACTCGATTGTAGGATCCTATCTGGCATCGTCGGAGTGTGACAGACAACGGGGTAAAGTAGAAGAGTGATAAAAGAGAGATGGCAGAACGGGCGCTGGCGCCTGCTGCTCAGACGGATGCGCTCAACAAATGCGATTTGTTTCTCCCATTCGCAGACTTGCCGATACCAAAATGTCATGTTTCTAAGAAATCTAAGTCTACCCAAATTTCGGGAAAAATAGCTGCGGATTCCACATAAGAGTATTCCAAAAATGAAAAAAGTTCAAACTATTAAAATTGTATTAATGTTTCATGGTTCAAATCATATTTTTCATGTTTGTATATTGTTGTATAAATGATTTTGTAATCCCTATTCTTGTTGCCTGTAGAGATACAACAGTATTGAGAGAAATCATGGACCGCTAGATAGGGCTACAACTACCATATAAACTATCAAATAGTAGTGATAAACAGGGTTTGTTTATAGCACAGTTGCCTGGTGTGGCGAATTTGCGCCATAGGGGCGATTTGACAACTTTGAAGGACAACTGGTGCCCGGTATTCGGGAATCTGGCAATACCTGATGATTCCTAACGTTTATTACGCCAGATTGTTTGCTGACTTGCGCAGTACAACATGACAATCAACGTGACTGAGCACCTGGTAACCCTGGTTTAAGGTGTTATATTTAAAGAGCTTGGAGCAGTTAGGTATCTAGGTCACATTTTTTAATGTATTTCGAGAAATCCGTAATGTTGAGTAAATACTAGATCACGTTTCTTGCTGAGTTTGCTGAAAATTCTACAATAGACGTACATTTTGAGAAACAGATTTGTTGACGACAAAATCGTAAAAATATAAGGCATTTTCGTAAAATAATTTCTTTGTTGAAAAGACTGTGGCTTGATGACCCATTGAACGAGGATAGTGTCCCGCTCCGCTTTGAATATTCGAAACACTATACTCCAGCAGCATTCAGCTTCAATGTTATCTTTATGAAGTTCTAACGTCTAGGCCATGCTGATTAAAAGCTTGAATGAATCAACACTTAACTCTAAATTCCCCACAATTCGGGAAGCTCTACTCAAATTGGCAACACAGCGTATCTGCCTATTATTCTCATTCGTGATACAGGTCTGCGGTCTGCTGCAAATTTCAGTATGCGTTGAGTCGATAGAAGAAGTACAGTAGATGCGCGCATTACGCACCAGTTCGATTGGACGTCCTGTGAACCGATTTCGGTGATTTCGAGATTTCACGAAATCACCTAAATCACTCTACTTATTTTTATGAATGGATAATTGGTTTTGTAGCAATAAAGGTTGCGTCTCATAACAAAAATAAGAAGATACCCACTCTAACAAAAAATAGTACACTCTTAAAAATGTGTAACGAAAATAAAAAGATATTCTAACAAAAAAATAAGTTCTCAAAAATAAAACGCAATAATGAACACAAATGTTTCAAATGGTCCTTCACAGCTGGGGCTCAAAAACGTCTCCTTCATTCAATGAACAATATGTCAGGCGGTTATAAAACTCCTGACGAACTCTCAAGAGGGTAGAAGGCTGTATTTGCCCGAGCGCTTCAACGATTTTCACCTGTAGGTTATGCAAATTGTCTGCTCTCTCATTGAAAGTGTAAACAGTACTTTTCACATAACCCCACAAGAAAAAATCATTGGGCGCTAGATCAAGGTAAGTGTGTACGATCGCCGCATTATGCGCCGGGCATCCATCTTGTTGGAACCAAATATTAGCGAGATCAATGTCAAGCTGCCTAATTGCAGGAACAATCTGCGTCTGTAGTAACGCCAAATATTTTGCAGCCGTAAGAGTTCCATCAATAAAGAACGATCCGATAATGTTATTACCTAAAATTCCTGCCCACACATTCAGTTTCTGTGGATACTGCGTGCGGACGGGAATACTGAGGTGTTTATTTTCCCGAGACCAATACCGGACGACTGAAGGATTGTGATGACCGTGGAGAGGGAATGTGGATTCATCAGTAAACAAAATGTTACCAATAAAACTTCCATCCCTGTTCGCCTTCTCCATGACCGTTTCACAAAACTCCATTCGACGGTATTTGTCTAAAGGAAATATTTCTTGAACCATTCCAACCTTGAAGCTATGATAGCCGTTGCGATGCAAAATATTTCTTGTTGTTCTGGGTGTGAGATCGGCTATTGGTACCATTTCAGCAATTTTTCTGCTTGAGCATGGCTCAGATTCTTCTGCAGCGGCACAAACAGCAGTTTCGATCTCTTCCCTTTTCTCACTAATTTTTGGTTTCCAATCTTCAGGGTGCATGCAGCTATGGCACTTATGTAAGCAGCCCACCCTCTTGAATTTTTCGTAGGTATTTATAACCGTTGCGTGAGACGGAATTGGCCGATCTGGGAAGCGTACCGCAAATAATTCAACAACCGCGCGTGCTGAATTATTCTGGATGTACCATTCTATCATTTGAAACTTGTCTTCTTGCGAGTACATTTTTAAGATATTTTGGATTAAATAAAGACGCACCTTTCCTACACAAAACCCAACCGCAGAGTGAGTCATCAATCCCTTATCGCACTTGACGACGGCACGCGCGTTAACGGTAGGAAATATGTACGAATAGCGATGAAAGTAGACGAGCCGTTGCGCTGTTGCCAAGAAATGATTTCCCATGTATAACAATGGTTTTTCCTAAGGTGTATATTTCTATCGTAATGTTTTAAGGGTAAATGTAGCGGTGAAATCTATGTGTGAGATATGTCTAATAGGTGCTGGTTTGAGACGAATAAATATACTAACGCAAAAAACTGCACTCCCCTAATTTCTCTCATAAAAAAACCAAAAACATGCAGGAACCTCGTCCCTATGTAGTTGTAGAGCCCACGATCAGTTTCTTTGCCTATCCGGAGATATTCCTCCACCTCAGAGAATGTAAATTTCAAAATTCACTTTTCTGTTATAAGCCTAATTATGTTTGCGGCTAATCCCAAGGCAGGTTGGTGGCCCGAGGATATTTCACGTGAAGTTAGAAAAAACTTTCAAACAACATTTTCCTCAAAATCCGTGTGATTACCTTAGCCTTGAGGTCTTCAGCAGTATAAGAGAGCGCCGTCGACGAAAGCAATTCTCCATTCTTGCACAGTGAATCTCTCTGACTTATAAAATACAGCTGCATCTCGGTGGCATCTTCGAACAGTTGAGAGTCCGTACGGCTGTGTTGACGCGCACGCTCCATGCACGCGAAAAAATCCTCTTGGAACACGTCCAGTCGTTTGTACACGCCCTTCTGCAGACGCCGCTTGATCAGATCCAAGGATAGCGCTCGAACTCTGTGGACATTAAAAAATGGCGTTAAGTAGCTTGGGACTTTCTACGCAATGCCGTCGTCAGCCCACAAAGAAAAAAGTACAACAGAGAAACTATACGGACCAAGTCAGTCAATTAGTCTATATACATTATTTCCCTGCCCTACCGTTAGTTACTGACCATATGGCAACGTTGTCCCTTCCCACACCTGCACAACAGCGCCAACCGAGGTACCGCTGCAGCAAGTTATCGTTCTTTTTCCAGCTTCAGTACGCAAAGATTAGTCAGCCTCACCGGTACGCCGCGCGGTGAGCTTAGATAGCAGGAGTAGGCGAATTGAAAATGTCACATGAAATCCAAATTTTATTATAGTTCCGCGCCCACTGACGTAGGAAGTAAAAATAAAGTCTTCTCAAACAGTTTTACTAACCGCCAAACTGCAAAAACTCTTAGCGACATACGTATCAGGTGTTGAAAAAACGACTTGGCGAGTGGTGGAATATTTATTGGGTAAATCCGACACTAGTATTTTTTGGATGAGCATTGTTAGGTGGTAGCAACGGAAGAGGAAAATGTTAAAAAGATTGCAAACAAATCTTATAGGAGTTTTAATACAGTGTTCGGAAATACCTGTAAAACCACTGGTTATCGAGATATCAGTGATTGATGGCAAAATGCTTCTTTTTCGTTCAAAGTTTGTTGAAGATTTATTTAGCATTAATGCTAAAATGTCAATTTTGTATAATGATTCGGATATATATTTTTCCTCATTCTATTTTCCGTAATTTTACATTCTTGTCTATTAAAATTACATCACTATGCATTTTGATCATTCATAAAGTGATTTTTTAGTTTCACCTTAAACATTTTTAAATTCAAACACTGTTTAATATCATTATTTATTAAATTCAAATACTCCCTTGTGAAATATAGATTTACTAGTTATGTTACTATTACAATTTTGCAGATGAAAATCTATACTGCCTCTAGTTTCGTTGTTATGATAATTACTATTCAATTTTGTCAAGTTTTCTAAATGTGGTGGTAATAAATGATTTTTGAATTTTAATATGAAAACGAGAACTAAATATAAAATTTTTCACATTCAACCAATGAGTTCTTCTAACATAGACTTAATCCTACCATATTTGTTTTTATTTAAAATGATTCTCATAGCTTTATTTTGTAGAATTTGTAATTTGAAAATATGTTTTCATTTGCTCTAAATAAGACGGTTGAATACTATAAAAAATAGGGAAGAGTTACAGTGTTATACACAATTTTTTTAATACATACTAAGATTATTGGAGACTATAGAAGTAATTATTATTTTTTTATATTTTTGAAATAATAATAATGCTCGTGAAACAGTAGTTTACTATCCACATATATACCAAGATATTTAAATGATTCGACTACTTCAATTTTTTCATCATTAATCATGAACCTAATTGTATTCCCACCTAAATGTTTCCCTATTGACAAACATTTTGTTTTATTAGAGTTCAATTTAAGTTTATTGACATTTAACCAATTCATAATTTTTTTAATATCAGATATCTCCGTGACAAATGAACGTAAAAAACAGGATATGGAAGCTGAATAAACTGACTATCGGATCTATATAATGGCCTAACAGAAAAAAAAGTTTTCAAGCCCGACTAAAAAAAAGAAGACAATAATTTTGCAAAAAAATCTTGAGCTATCTAAATATTTTAGCTGAAAAACCTGAAAACTAGGATCTTGAAGGTTCAACATGGTTTCTTTGGTGTCTAGATACGACCTTTTTTCACCAAAATACAGTCAAAAATCACCGAAGATTTGGATTTTTTCCAAAAGCCCGAGTGCTGATCTTTGGATAATATTTGGCTGATTCTACTTACTTTCTGCCGTCGACTTCCTCGTGTTCAGGCAACTCCGCCATAGAATCTGAATAACACCTGCCATCGTCATCCTGGTGGTTGTACACGGTGGTGAAAAGAGTCAGAAGGATATCCTGAACAGCAGCTTGAACATCAGGCGCTACGTCATCGTCCACGCTTTTCAGCTGAACTTTCGTCTGCATGCAGACGCTCTGCAGCACTAACGCGTCCTGAACAGAAAACAACAATTTATTCTAAAGTTAATTTTTAGGCATGTGTCATATCTTCGGAAAAATTTGGTATTATTTAAAAACGTTTATCAAAACAAAACAATTAGAGGAGGTGGGTCAAGGAAGTTTTTGGGAATATATAGCGAAAAATTTTGGGAGATAAACATCAGGGTGTCCAAAATATTTTTTAATTAACATAGGGAAATGGGAGCCAGACGATTTATCTGAAAATTGAGTTGAGCTGTCCTGAATAACAGTTCTCATTTGACCATAGAAATCCTATTATTAGTTTCTGTGAAACAAGGAAAGCAACTTTGTCTGATTTGCAATACAGAAAGTATTTCCATTAAAAACCTTTCATTAGCGAGGTGCTGGTAGATGTCATGTTGATCTTGATCATGATCCTTACAAGGTCAATTTAAGGGAAAATATTTGTATATGCTGACAATGAAATGGATCTGGTAAAAGTTGTTCGACAATTAAAAAAAAGTATGCATTTAATCAATTAGTCGGGGTTGTTTAGTTCTCTTTATGACCTTTACAAGATCATTTCAAGGTCATTTTCATTCTAAACTGACCTTTGCCAAGACAGTTCAAGACCATGTTGATTTTGAACTGACATTTACAAGGCCAGTTGAAGGTCATGTTGATTTTGAACCGAGATTTACAAGTCCAGCTCAATGTCATGTTGGCTCTGAACTGACCTTTACAAAGTCAGTCATGCTCATATTGGCCCTGAACTGACCTTTACCAAGCCAGTTCAAGGTCATGTTGATTATGAACCGACCTTTACAAAGTCGGTTTAAGATCATCTTGAGAACTGACCTTTACAAAGTTAGTTCAATACCATGTTGATTCTGAACTGACATTTACAAGGCCAGTTTAAGGTCGTGTTGATTTTGAACAGAGATTTACGAGTTCAGCTCAATGTCATGTTGGCTCTGAACTGACCTTTGCAAAGTCAGTTTAAGGACATGTTGGATCTGAATTGACCTTTATAAGGTCTGTGGAAAGTCATTTTGATTCTGCACTGACCTTCAGTTCATGTTAATTGTGGACTGACCTTTGCAAGATCAGTTCAAAGTCCTTTTAATTCTAAACTGACCTTCACAAAGTCAGTTAAAGGTCATGTTGATTCTGAACTGACCTTTACAAGGACATTTCAAAGTCATGTTGATTTTGCAGAAGAGAAATGTGAGCATGTCTTGAAGTATTACAATTTATTGACTATTAATTTGAGTTTTAAGGATAACACACTCCAATCATGTAGAAACCATATAAAAAAGCACAGGTGCATGTGCGGGGTGTCAAAGCACTATAAGGAAGGATGTCAATATTTGCGATTAGTGTATTTTCTTATATATTTTTTATCCTTTACCTTGTAAATCTGCGAATCAGGCTCGTTGAACTTGCACGCGTTGTCGAACATTAGCGTAAAATCCGCCACCAAATCGTCCAAAGTCTCGTACTGATTCGTTTTTAGCTTAAAAGATAAGCGCTCCATGTCGATAGGTTCCTTGATCACCTCGTAGTAGTCAGGATAGTCAATCTTCGAAGGTAGCTTCATGAAGATCAAAGATAGTTGTCTATTGTCTTTAGGTTCCCGATAGTCTTTGATTGTGTCATATAGGGTTTTTAGGTAACGTTCTTGGTTGCATATCAGCTTACGGGGTTTGTAACTGTAACAAAAAAGGATTTTTACTTGATAGGGAATAAAAAGTGAATCTCGTACGAAAATGTCGTGACGAAAAGAGCATATTGTGAACCGGCATCACCGGTATTTGGAAAAAGGGCGATCGGACAAGATCCAGAGCACTTACGCCCCATTGTACGTCCTCCCCAGGGGTCGCTCAAGGCAGGGCACGTATCATCCCGCATGTTTTTGAAACCGGAACCCCTATTACGTAGCTGGAAAATGATAGGGACAGCGATCCGATCGATATAATTGCCACTTTGGAACTAGCTATGATTCACTTGTTCTTGTAGTAGCTGTGCGTGTTGCCTAATCGTCAAAATACAGGGTGCGGCAGAGAGGATGGACGGTTTTAAAAAATCATAAAATAGTTAATTTTTACTCGAAAACAAATTTATTTCTGGAATCAGGTTCACAAGGAAATAGCATTTGAGACAGTCAAGTGTGGAAAATCACATCAGGCCGAAATCGTTGATGCAGTGCTGGAGGCGTTCTTGGAAGTTCGCGTAGACTCTCTCCAACATCGCTCTCTCAACTAGGGCGACTTCCACGCGAATTTCGCCCTTCAATTCGTCCAGAGTTCGGGGCTTGTTCGCGTATACTCTAGCCTTGAGGTGTCCCCATAAGAAAAAATCGCATATGGATAAATCTGGGGACCGAGGAGGCCAATGAACATCGCCAAACCTGGAAATAAGGCGACCAGGGAAGAGAGGGCGAATATCGTCCATGGATGCTCGGGCTGTGTGGGCGGTCGCCCATCCTGCTGGAACCAGACACGTCGGATTGGAACACGTCGCCATCATAATTCAGGGAGAAAGAAGTTGGTGATCATGTCGATGTAACGCTCTGAGTTCACGGTAACATCACGACCATTACCGTCTTCGAAGAAGTAAGGGCCAATGATGCAAGTTTGCGATACAGCGCACCAAACAGTTATTTTTGGGATGTGCAGCGGTCTTTCGTGTAACTGTTGCGGATTTTCATTAGCCCAATAACGACAATTCTGCTGGTTAAGTGAAAGTGGGCTTCGTCACTCATAGGCGAAAACGCGGTGCTTCACCGTCCAAGGCTCCATAACGACAACTGGTAAAATAATGCTAGGATCTCACGAGTCAAACGGCACCCTCCCCACCTCTCTCGTAGACGAAGGCGGAGAGTACTACCCATCCCAAAAACGTCCGTCCTCTCTGCCGCACCCTGTACTTAAGCTATGTGCTGTGGCTCTGATCTGTACATGTTGAGCCAACCGTGAACCTATTGCGAGCTGTTGGAACCGAATGCAAAGCTGTAAGTAATTAGATAATTTTAAGAAAGTACTCTAAGAAAAAATGGCGGCGACGTTTATTAAAAAAAAACAATTATATTACTGCGTTTTAATGCGAAACCAGGCACTGTTTTCGGTGACCGTCAAAGAACCGCAAAGCTTGTCCGTAAAATTCTGACAGTCCCGATACTCTCAAGACCTCTCACCTATTTTTGGCGTCACAAGATTTTCTGTAGGGAAAACATTTTTGAGACTAGAACGACATCCAATAAGCAATTGATCAATTTATCATACCTAGAGATGAGGCGTTGTATAAACATCGAATAAAAGATAGCATGAGGCCATGAATGATGATAAGCCTTATATTATTCATTAAAGATTATCCAAGGTATGAAAAAATCTTATTTTGGCCTAAAAACAGCCCGCGCTTTCCGATAGACCTAATAATATATGCACTTACACTCTAGGTGAATCCTTAGCTCTCCTAAAAGTCCCATCAGGCGACCGATTGCAGCTCCCAGGCGGCCTGCCAGGCCCGGGCCCCAACCGTGGCTTCACCGGCTTGATCACCTTCACGTCCAGGTACTTCTCCAATCGATTCGCATCTTCAAAAATCGGCGAGTTTTCCTCGTTAAACTGTCGACAGTTACTGAACATTAGTCGGAAGTCCTTTACAAGATCTGCTTCGCAGCTGTACTGTTCTGCCTTGATCTTAGCTTCGATCTCTAGGAAGTCGATCGGTTCGGCTATGACTTCGTAGTATTCCGGATACAATTTCTTCGAGGGTTTTTCCATGAAGGCTAGCATCGGTTTGCGACCGTCTTCACACTGGAAATAGATACATAGGCGTATGAAGAATACAATCGTTCTTAATGACAAAGCTAAGTTAAAACTAAACTGTAACATAATTACATATGTGGAGTAAGTGAATTATAGAAGTAATACAAGGTACAGTGGACCCCCGATAATTCGGCCCCTGTCTAATCCGGCGCCCCCTGTAATCCGACATGTCTTTGAATATGTATTACATACATACGTATTTGACAATCTTCGCTAATGTAGATCACGCAGGTTTGAACAGGTTACAACTTGTACGCGCCACCGCTATCGTGCTCGACGCGTAAGCATTGTTTTACTTGGTTTGAATTTGACTACTTGTGATAGCGGTACGGCCTAGCGTGCGTTCATTGTTTACTATTTATTCATTGCGTATTAAGTATAGTTCCTAGTAATGTCATCACAAACTCAGAAGCGACAGCACAAAACATTGACAATTACAAAAAAAATGTGATATTTTAGACCGCTTAAATCGCAATGAAACTTTCAGTAGTTTAGCAAGTGTAGGCCGATCTACAATTTATGACATTAAAAGAAACTACGAGAAGATCAAGAAGTACCTGTCAAATACTGACTGCGGGCCCGGCAAGAGACAGACACTCAAGAAAGCTGAACATCCAGAAGTGGAAGAAGCTTGGTACATGTGGTTTCTTCAGGAAATAAATAGGCATGCACCAATTTCGGGACCCATGTTGGCCATGAAAGCTAAGTTTTTTTATAAGGAAATAACAAAAAAAGATGATTTTGTGGCCAGCAAAGGATGGCTAGAACGTTTTAAAAGTCGTCATGGCATACGTTTAATGACTATTACAGGAGAGAAACTTTCTAACGATGACACCTGCATAGAGCCCTTTAAATTAAGATTTTTGCAAAAGGTGAACGATTTAAATCTTGACCCGTCACAGGTGTACAATGCAGACGAATCAGGGCTTTCGTTTCTTGTAACGAAAAATCCGTACCTAGACGAAAAGTGAGTAAAGAGCGTGTAACCATACTACCATGTGCTAACGCTGCGGGCACACACGCGCTTAAGATGATGGTCATTGGGTAATCTAATAAACCTCGGGCATTCAAAAACATTGATTTACCTGTACACTATTACGGACAAAAAAGTGCATGGATGACAAAAGACCTTTTCAAAAAGTGGTTTGATGAATGCTTCGTACCTGAAGTTAGAAAACGGTTAAAAGATCATAATTTTCCTCAAAAAGCGTTGTTGCTTCTTGATAACGCCAAATTGCACTGCACTGATTCAACCAATGGAGCAGAATATCATTCAGTTTGTCAAGCAAGACTATAAGAAAAACCTACTTCTGAGAGCCGTATCAAAAGACCAACCAATAGAAAAAACTTTAAAAGAATTTAATATGATCTGGTTTTTGCTCTTTGTCAGTCGTGGAATGCGTTAACGTCATCAACTATTAAATCGTCTTTGAAAAAGTTATGGCCAGATATAGTCATCACTCCTAGCAACATTCCACAAATCAGTGTTACTTCGGAAGTTATAGAACAAGTCGCTACTGAAACACAGATAAGTCCAGAAGATTTGGAAATCTGGTGCCATGGAATGGATAAAGAGGAAAATGTTTTTCATGAAATGTCTGACGAAGAGATTATAAAAGAGGTTTCTAATTATACAACAAACAATCAGGAAAATAACGACGACGTGATTGCAACTGCTCCACAAGTCACACCACAAGACGCAATTAACGCCTTTGAGCTAGGTTTACAATGGGCTGAAGAGAATGGTACATCCTACAACGAACTTTTACTTTTGAGAAGACTGAGAGACAAAGCTCTGATCTCGCGTTATAACAACCTTAAACAAAAAAAAATTGATGAATATTTCCAAGATTCATAATTCTTGATTATTTTGGTACATATGTATGTGCATTTATGCTTAATTTTATAATAAAACGTGAGGTCTCTATTGTTATTTAATTTACTAAATTCGACATACATAAACTATGTATGATTTGTACTTCAAAGTACATACATATACATAACATATATAATCTTACCATTGGATATGTAATTTGTCGGATTACAAGGTACTATTTTGTAAAAAATTCCGGACTATAGGGGGTCAAATTCGATAGTCCGACACTGCTCCGCATAATGTTTGTCGGATTACCGGATTTCCACTGTATATGGTTTACATATTAAAAAGTTTGAAGTCTTTGCTAGTTGAGCAAGCAATTTGTCTACATGATTAGTAAAATCTAATTTATGATCGATGGTCATTCTCAAAAATTTGATGGTGTGTTTTGTGTGTCAATCCATTATTTAGATTTATAAAATCACGGGAGCATTTAAATGTCATAAATTTTGTCTTATCAGCATTGTAAGTCAAGTAACTGTTGTCACACCATTTTTGATTGATTGAATATCACTACCAATTTTTGTCTTATTGCATGTAATCTCTGTCTTGCCAAAGTATTGTGATATAGTCAGTAAAAACTACAAATTTACCATTCATGTTCAAGTTTATTAAATCATTGATATATACTAAGAATCGGATCGGACCTAATACTGATCCTTGAGGTACTCCTGCGTATATATTCATTTTAAAGATGTCTTGATAATTTTACGATTTGGGATCGTTTATTTAAATACGTTTTAAACCAAAAATGTTATAGGATGAACCAAGATTCAATAGCACATTAGCAATATTTCTAGGACAACATATTGGAAAATAATAGGAAAATGTCCTAAAAACTTAAAATGCGAGCGTTTGTCTACATGATTAGTAAAATCTAATTTATTATCGATGGTCATTCCCAAAATTTGATGGTGTGTTTTGTGTGTAAATTCATTATTTAGATTTATAAAACCACGGGAGCATTTAAATGTCATAAATTTTGTCTTATCAGCATTGTAAGTCAAGTAATTGTTGTCACACCATTTTTTGATTGATTGATTATCACTACCAATTTTTGTCTTATTGCATGTAATCTCTGTCTTGCCAAGGTATTGTGATATAGTCAGTAAAAACTACAAATTTACCATTCATGTTCAAGTTTATTAAATCATTGATATATACTAAGAATCGGATCGGACCTAATACTTGAGGTACTCCTGCGTATATATTCATTTTAAAGATGTCTTGATAATTTTACGATTTGGGATCGATTATTTAAATACGTTTTAAACCAAAAATGTTATAGGATGAACCAAGATTCAATAGCACATTAGCAATATTTCTAGGACAACATATTGGAAAATAATAGGAAAATGTCCTAAAAACTTAAAATGCGAGTGCTGTTATACTTACGAAATTCTAGGAGTACAAGTACCAGCATTTATAAAACTAAATAGTTGTACTTACCGTGTAGTCAAGCATATACTTGGCAAGGATTGTCAACCGTTGCTTCAAAGGTAACTTTGGCGGTCTTCCTCTAGGAGCCTTCTGCTCAGGACTACCTGGAGTCTTAGGTTTAGGTCCAGGTTTCCGTCTCACTACTTCTGGGGTTGCACCGCTCACCAACTCCTGTAAAAAATATATTTTCTCTTAAATGTTCGCTATTTTAAGAAACATAATTTTTCAGCATTCCGGTGAAAGTCAGACTATAACATTTATTAATGTGTTCTACCTGAAGACAGCCAATCTAATACTGTATTTTCCGGCCAAAAAAATATCTTGAGATGAAATGAGATGTCCATGAGGATATGTCACAGATGTGTTTCTCCTCTCCGTGCTAATTACAAATCTACTTTGAAAATAGTTGGCATGGTATATGATATTTGCTATTATAGTTGGCTACATTGCCAGCTATGAGACGCTAACCTTTTCAAAGTAGATTTCTAATTAGTGAGGAGAAGAGAAACATAGCTGAGACAAACTCATAGATGACGCTACGGTATATAGTAATAATACTGTTTATTTCAATAATATATATACAGTAGCGGACAAAAGTTTGGAAACAGTCTTAGTAATTTTTAAAAAGTGCGCTAATTTATTATTCTTGATTATTAAGGACTATTTTTTTCTCGTATAGTTTATTTAGTCTTGAGGATACAAATGACAATTTGTGTTTGATATGGTACTACAGGCTAGCATTAAAATACATTCATATTATTTTATGACCAAAAATGAGACGACAAAAGTATGGAAACATATTTTTTATTACAAAATTAAATACAATAACTCTACAAAAAGATTTAAAAAATACTGTTTAACTTATATTTGGTAGCATAGCCTTTAGCATTCAACACTGCCTGACATAAGCTGCTCATAGAAGACATCAATTTTTTACAGACATCTGTTGGGATATTTTGCCAAATATTTTTTACATAATCAAATAAATCGTTCCTATTTTTTCTTGTCAGTTGTCTTTTAACATACTCCCAGAGATGTTTAATAGGGTTTAGGTCCGGGGATTGCGAAGGCCATGTAACGACATTAACATTTTTTAATCTTAACCGAATTTTGAGGTATGCTTGGGGTCATTATTTTGCTGGAATGTCCATCGTAAAGGCACTTCTTCTTCAGCAAAAGGAGGTACGTGTTCACTAAGGATATCTTTTGTAAAGCTTTTGCCAACAATTTTAACAATTGGACCCGTTCCAGAACTAGAAAAACAGCCCTAAACCATGATGTTGCCTCCATCGTGCCGTTTCGTCAGATCCAAACAAGTTAAATTCGCTTTCATCGCTCTAGCAAATTCAAGCTATCCAAAACATAATCTTTTTTTTTCGGTCTTCCGCACCTCGGCCGCGTACCTGGTGATCCGTATTTATTGATATTTACTAATAATTTTCGAAATCGCCCCTTTGTTCATTTTTAATCTTTGAGAAATGTCAACATATCTGACATCAGTTCTAAATAATTGAATTACTTTGTCTCTTAAAACTTTTGAAAATTCTTTTACTTTTGCCATTCTCACTGATGTTAATATTTACCGCACGCAATATCAGAGTATCGCAGAACGAATAAATACGGCAAAACTGAAATGTTTCCATACTTTTGTCGTTACAAAAACTGTGGTATTTAAAAAAACGCATGTTTTTATTTTCAGAGAATTTGAATATTGATAAGATAAATCTTGCATTAGTACGGGAGCCAAAGGTAGACTTTAATATTTATATTATCTGTTCCTTCACAATTTTAATTTAGGTATATGAAATAATTCATAATAATGTTAAGATTTGTTTCCAAACTTTTGTTCGCTACTGTACATTCACAAAATGAAACTTGTGGGCACAATTAACTAGAAAGTTTGTGCGTGCCCACATTCAATAGAATTATATAATCGATTTAAGGTATAACTTAATAAATTATAAATAGTACAAAGTGTGAGAGCTGAAATTGGGTAAATTTTCGCAACAGCTATATTTAGACATATACAGCTGTCTGTATAGTAGAATTATAGAAGAATTTATCTACTTGGCAATATTCACCGTTTTTCAAACATACGGAATATAAATCCCGTTTGGTTTCTTTGGAAACACTATCTACAAAAATACAATTAAATCATGCATGCATACCAAAAAATTGATACGTCCATTAAACACCGAATATTCTGTCCCACAATAATCTACTACAGCTCAGAATACCAAATCTAGTACAAATCATTATCCAGTCTCAAAAAATGTCTAACCACACCATACGTTATGGCGCTTCTAAACGGGCAAAATAGGGTGGTGGTCAGCAATATAAGGCAATATTTTTACAGATATTTTCATAGATACGTGATTATGTAATGTTAAGCAGCCACTCTTGCTTAATTTTGGAGATGAAAATTCGAAAAATGTTTCTGTCTACCCCAAAACTGCTCAACTTTTTTTAAACAAATTGGGTCAAACGGGACATTCAGGACATTTTCAGCGAGCCACTGGCGATTTCTATTTTAGATACTCTTCGAACTTGTGCGATAAAAAATCCAACTATTATTATTATACAGATATAGCTGAGTACCGACTGGATTCGGTAGAGGGCGTTCCTAGCTAACGAATGAGCGGCTGGTCAGTTGTCTCCGAGCACTTGGAGAGTCAGGACAGGCATTTTCGCGCGACGTGTTTCTGTGAGTGGTGCAAGCCGAAAAGGCAGCGTTCGTTAGAGCAGAGGTACGCGATTAAATTCTGTGTGAAACTCGGTAAATCTGCGACAGAGCCGTTTGATATGATCAAGCAGGCTTACCCAGGTGTTGCTTTAGCAAGAAGTGGTGTGTTTCGGTGGCACCAGGCCTTTTTGGAGGGCCGGGAAGAGGTCGCTGATAAAGACCATGCTGAAGACCTTCGACTTCGACAAACACCGATAATGTGACTCGTGTGCGCAACGTTTTGAACTCAGACCGTCGACTAAGTATTCGTTTAATTGCCCAGATGTTAAATTTACCAAAATCTGTGGTTCATGACATTGCGACACAGCATTTGAACATGCGCAAGGTGTGCGCGAAGATGTTCCCAAAAGTGCTCACTGACGACCAGAAATTGCGGTGAGTGGAAGTGTGCCAAGAAAATTTGAACATGTGTGAAAGTGACCCCCAATTTTTGAATAACGTAATCACAGGTGACGAGTCGTGGATCTTCGAGTATGATCCCGAGACAAAGAGGCAATCTTCCGAGTGGCACACGACGGCGCCTCCTCGCCCAAAAAAGGGAAGAATGAGCAAATCTAAAGTGAAAACGATGCTCATTGTCTTTTTTGACATCAACGGCATGGTCCACCATGAATTTGTTCCTCCTGGACAAACCGTCAACGCCAAGTTTTACGTGGAAGTACTCAGGAGACTCAAACGAAGGGTCAGTCGGGTCCGACAAGACATCGCAGCTGACTGGAAGTTGCACCACGACAACGCCCCGGCTCACACCGCCTTTCTTGTGAACAGCTACCTGACCAAGGCCGGCATCCCAACGCTTCCGCAGCCGACCTACAGCCCAGATGTGGCCATCCCGAACTTTTTTTTGTTTCCTCGTCTGAAAAGGCCGATGAAAGGCAAGCATTTTTAGACGACAGAGGGGATCCAAGCAGCATGCATCGACGCAGAAGGAACCTATTTTGAAAGTTTTTAAAGAATTGTAACAATTAGCTGAATATTTTTTTTTAAATCGACTCAGTCCTATTACTTTCCGGACAAACCCTGTATATAGCCCATATGGTCATGGTGACTGTGCTATAGTTGCCATAGTAATTGCCAAATATTGCTCATTTAGAAGCTCCATTAAAATCAACTCACTCAAGATAGTAAAGTAGCCGTTTTTAAACTCTTCGTATATTTACCTACACTTCCTTAGCGTCAACTAATTTTCTTTTACTACTAGTTACACTGCTCAAAACAGCAATTTTCATACGAAGAATCCAATGTGAGTCCAATATTTAATGAATTTTGTATCATCCAGCGCAAGAACAAACCTTAAAACGTGATATTAATTTTCTATCGAGAATTTTCTGTTTAAAGGTATGCACTATCAGAATATTAATAATTCAACATATAAAGTTCTTTATATGTAGATGTTTTTTGAGCAGGTAATGTATACAAAATTGAAGATTCCTTATTCATGCTTGCATTTACCAACTAAAAAAAGATACCATGTCAATGAAAATGCAAGCAGTGCAGTCCTTGGTAGCTGGCTAGTGAGTTTGTGTCGCGCACGCATACCTTTCTGTTTTTGTTAGTGACTTTTTCCGTTACCTGATCAATGTCAAGTAGTTCTTGAACCTTCATCTGCATCAGCTTCTGCAATTTGACCGCGTCCTGGAACAAAACAGAATCAAAATTATCTTCTATCGTCAGGTATATTAGACATTAGGATAAGGGAAAATGTTCCAGAGACTAAGTTCACTAGGGTGTCCACTTTAAATTTCAAAGAAAACTCTCTGACAAATCCCAGACCTTACCCATTACCTGGCTTTTCCAAAATTTGTTTGACAAAAATTGAAAAGTCTTCTGAGGCATATATTTTTCGTGATTTTCTAGAAAGCAGTATTTTTGCTGCTGTGGCAGTCTTTTCCGAATATATATTTGTTTTTAAAATGTACCTTATATAACTTCGAAGATGGTATGTTGTATTTTTGGCATTCTCGAACATGATAGTTAGGTCTCCTGCAACCTCACTCAAATTGCCGTATCCTTTATTCATCAGTTTCCTCTTGATCTGGCCTAGAGACATGGGGTTCTTTATTTCCTTGTAATAGTCCGGATACGTCTTCCTTGACGGCAGCTTCCAAAACGGAACCGATAGAGGTACCTGGAAACATATTTACAATCTCTGAAATTATGTTTAATGGGAACTCCGTAAAAAAGCAGCCGCTTTTCATACAATTTTTACAAAAATACGAGGTCTTTAAATTAAATAATGAGGCTGGCAGCGTAGCGTTCGATCTGGCAACACTGGAGGCGCCGGGCTTTTGGGGAGGCAAGGGAGCACGTGATCCGCATGCAGTACAAGTTTGAACCCGCTAGAGTCATTTGGTAGTCCGTAGCGATTTTTTTTGTGAAATAGTTTTTTTTATTGTGTTCTAGAAATGACTGACATCAATTTCAAACAACGGTGTGCTATCAGGCTTTGCTTCACACTTGGGCACAGTGCAATGGAAACTCTTGCTTCAGCAGACCTACGGAGGTACTATTTTGTCAAGAGTCCAGGTTTTTCGGTGGCTTAAGGTATTTTCAGAAAGTAGTGAGTCGATTGAAAATGAACCCCCGCAGCAGAAGGCCTCCATCTTCAAGAACCGATGAAAATATCAAAGAATCCGGGATCTTGCGCGTTCAGATAGTCGGTTGACAGTAAGATCGTAGAAGAGTTAAATTTGACTTGCACCACCGTTCATCAGATCAAGTTATATCACTATAATGCTATTCCTATGGCTCCTCACCCTCCTTATTAGCCTTACTTGAGTCCTTGTGACTCTTTCCTCTTCCTGCAGTTGAAAAAACACCTCAAGGAACCCATTTTGGAACAGTCGAAATCATTCAAACAGCTGTAAGCGACCAGCTGAAGGCTATTCCAGTATCAGTTTTTCAGCACTGTTATGAGGAATGGAAGAACCGACTCCAGCGCTATGTGACTTCAGAAGGAAGTTATTTTGAGGGTGAAAATATAAAATTGTAATTATATTCGCAAGAAAAATTTTAAAAAAAGCAGTAACTTAATTTACAGACGCCCCCAGCGCCCACTTTGAGACTGCTCTAGAGAATGGTGTTTTCCTTTTCCGATACCATGCTACAAGAATGTGCAATTTTGAATTCTACATATTTTAAACACAAAAGATAACAAGTCGAATAGCGATTATCTTCATTAAGCACTTTACTTTCCTATACAAAAATTCCTTGTTTGTATCTCGAAAAAAAAAAATGAGTTCTGGGAGAGCTGCGGATGCATGTTTTACATAGCAATACAAGATCTGTCGCAGGACTTTTTAAAGATATTCGATACAAGTAGCGCCATCTATTATCGGATACTAGCGTTGGATAGGTACATCTTTCAATGATGCCCTGTCAAAATTTCATGACAATCAAATCACTTCACGCAGAGTTATCGCGCTCAAAGTGACGGTACCTTTCTAGCATCGGTCGAAAAATGAACATCGAACAAAGAGTCAATATTAAGTTCGTTGGAAGACGACGAACATGTTGGCCTGTCAAAATTTGTGATTGCGCCAGAAACAGTCGAAAAAGTGCGTGAAAAATGTTCCGAAATTTTCATTGAGATACATAGAAATGGAATTAAATATCTCTAAAGATTCAATCCATCGCATTTGACCAAGAATTTGGGAAAGAGAAAGGTGTGTTCACGGCGTGTTCCGCACAAGCTCATGGCTGACCAAAACTTGCTTCGACTTCAACATTCGAGAGACACCATTAAGGAGGCAAAAAACACAAAAACATTTTGTACAACATTGTGACTGATGACGAAACGTGGTGTTTTCAATACGATATCGAACGTGGTAAGCAGAACAACGGACCGGCTAGCGGGACGTTGTAGTTAATTTTTCTAGAGGACATAGACAATAAATAATTTTATGCTTCAGTATACGTGGAAGTGCGTAGTGTCTGCATTTTCGTGTGAGTTAGGTATGTGAATATCGTCTGTTGTCTTTGATCTATTGCAATTTCTACATAAGTAGTTATACACTAAGGTCTATTTTTGTCTGCACTCCATCTATATTTTTTTTTTTTTGCTCTGACAAAAATTCCACGAAGCAAAAACCTCATCCACGCTGTACTAATAAATAGCTCAGGGAAATTGGGTGTATGTTTTCGTCATGGCACCCGATGTCGAGCTGTGTAAGGTATGCGAGAATAATTTTATAGTGAGTACTAAAGCAATTAACTGTAGTATTTGCGCATCTAAATTCCACACTTCTTGTGTCTCAGTCAAAGACAGCTGGATAAAAATAATATCAGAGTGTGAAAATCTGCTCTGGGTCTGTGATGACTGCCGTTGCTTCCTATATAAGAAATGTGATTCATCGAAAACTGAGACTAGTATCTTACGAAAAGAAGTTGAATGTCTAAATAGGGAAATGGAGCTTACAAAGCGATTGATGTCGGAACTGGAGTACTCCAGTGAACTACAGAAAACCTTATTGAAGTCTTACGAAAATAATGTTTATGTGACACCAAAAATTGCATTGCAACCAAATCCAAGCACATTTAGCGATATTTTAAAGAAACCATCTACCGCTAGTTCATCTGTGTTGCTGATCAAGGCAGATGCAGTGGAAAATGCTGATAGCAAGAATATTTTCCAAGAAATCACGTCATCTGTTAACCCAGCTAATCTGAACGTTTGCATCAACTCCACTAAACGAATAAAGAATGGTGTAGCGGTTCACTGCAAAGATGACAAATCACTTAACACGCTCAAAACCAGTCTCAATAACAAACTTGGATCAAAATATTCCATTACCCAAGCCAGGAAGCTGAATCCTCGCATGCTTGTCAGAAATGTAAATTTGGAGGGCTTAAATTCGCCTGAGGACATAGTAAACAATATTATTTCCTTAAATAGTTTCGCAAACATTCAGCAGACTGACATAAAATTTGTCACGAAGCTGAAACACTTCAACAGTGTCAACATAGTCATTGAAGTTACACCGGCAGTGCGGAAAGTTTTACTTCAAGAGGGCTTTGTGTTCTTAGGATGGAAGAAGTCTCTTGTAAGCGATCACCTTCATATTGTGAAGTGTATAAAGTGCCACTCATTCGGTCATTCGGCAAAGGAATGCAAATCCACGGAAATAATATGTTCAAAATGCTCGGGAAGTCATATGTTAAAGGATTGTAAGTCTGATGTTTCAAAATGTATAAACTGCCTGAACTATAACAGAACAAAGAAAAAAAATATTCAATGTGACCATGCCACAAATTTTAGAGGTTGTCCAATGTACCAAAACTATGTACAAAACCTAAAAGAAAGAGTCGACTATGGCTAATCTATCTACTGATATGAATAAAAATAAAAACCTTAAAATAGCAGTATTAAACATCAGATCGCTTTTAGTCAAGTTTGTCGATTTCAAAAACACTGTGGTCAATTCCCAGGATTGGGACATTATTGCATTAACTGAGACCTGGCTCAATCAAAATGTAGACAATGATCTCATATCTTTGGATGGATTTACTCTTTTAGGAACGATCGAGTTGACTCCAGAGGTGGCGGTGTTCTGATTTATATAACAAACAAAATTAGATGCAGCGTTATTGACATCACCTCTTCAGTTGAACAATTGTGGGTTACATTCAAAATTAAAGCGACGAGTTTTTGCTTTGGAGTCGTTTATCGGCCTCCTAAGTGTAACGTTTATGATTTTATCAATCAGTTTCAAGATTCACTTAGTTTGTTATATCCGAGATATGACAAAATGATTTGCACTGGCGATTTTAATATTGATTTTCTCGATAAAAACAGTAATGCTGTGAAGTTATTTGATGATTCGTTGAATAATTTTGGTTTGCATCAAATAGTAGCTACGCCGACCAGATTTGGAGTCTCCTCCGAAACGTTGCTAGATCTCTTTTTTTGCTCTGATGATATTCCAAGTACTTGTGATGTATGTAATGTACCAAATTTGTCTGATCACAGTTTGATATCTATAGTCCTTGAATATGAGGTAGAAACCAAACAACCTGTACTACGTAGCTACAGAGATTTCAAAAATATCAACCAAGAATCTTTTAAGACTGCTCTGGATGAAGTAGACTTTATGCAGATAGTTTATTGTCAGGATATAGATACGAAATTAAATATATTTAATCAATTAGTTTTAGAGCTATTTGACAGATTTGCACCCTATCGAATGGCAAGGTTTACGAAAAAACCAGCTCCGTGGCTGACTGATAACATTAAATTTCTAATGAAACTTAGAGATGACAAATTCACTGCCTATAGGAAATCAAGGTGCGATCAGAAATGGGAGGAATACAAAAAGTTACGTAATATAGTAAAATTAGCAACTGATAATGCTAAAAAGATTCATTTGGAACATAAAATTAACAGTACGAACTATAAGACTCTATGGAAAGATTTAGAAGCTATGAACTTTGGCAATAAGACACCCAGGTCATCTATCCCAGTTGATTTAGCTGATGTTGACAAAATGAACCGGTACTTTACGTCTTTATCTAGTGCAGGTATAGAACCTGATGCTGATACATTTTCTTTTTATAAAAATAATGTCAAACCAAATGTATCCCTCTTTGAATTCGCTTTGGCGTCCACAGATCAGGTGAAAGATACTTTGTTTGGCTTCAAAAGCAAAGCATTTGGTGCTGATTTGATAAATACCGAAATGCTGTTGTATTGCTGCCCCAAAATTATTCCTTTCATGACACATATCATTAATGAATGCATATTGCGTCGCTATTTTCCTTTTGTTGGAAGCACGCTTTGATTGTGCCTTTGCCTAAAGTTGCTCAGCCATCTGAGCTCAAGGATTTGCGTAATATTAGTATATTGCCAACATTATCTAAATTGCTTGAATCAATAATGGATGTTCAGATAAGAGAACACTTAAGAACGAATAACCTCATTATAGATACACAATCAGGGTTCCGTCCGGCGCATAGCTGTACAACAGCATTGCTGGGAGTGGTGGATGATGTGTTGTGCAGTGCTGACAAAGGTAACCTGACTGCCTTGGTGCTCTTAGATTATACGAAGGCATTTGACAGGATACATCATGACCTACTCTTAGCCATGCTCCACTTTTACGGATTCTCGGCCGATGCAGAGTCTCTAATGCGAAGCTACTTCAGCGATCGACAACAGCAGGTAATGCTGAATGATAAGTACTCTGCGCCATTGAAAGTGACCATTGGTGTTCCTCAGGGCTCCATTCTGGGTCCGCTAATGTTCATTATTTACACCTCTAATCTATACTTCAGTCTTCACTCTTGTAAAGCTCATTTTTATGCAGATGATACACAAGTGTACTTATCATTTCCTCCAGCTCAAACATTGCCTGCTGTTGATCTGATAAATAAAGACCTTGATCGTCTCACTAAAGCTTCTCGAAATATATGCTTAGACTTGAATCCGGCTAAAAGTACAGTCATGTTATTCGGGCCAAAAAATTGGAGAAACCATTGTGAACCTCTGGTGAAAATAAACCTCGATAACAATACTTTAGAAATAAGCTCGATAGCGCGTAATTTAGGCTTATACCTTGACAAAAACTTGAGGTTTGAGGAACATGTTAACAAGTGCTCCAGAAGGGCGTATTCTAATTTAAAGACGATATACGGTCAAAAATCTTACATCAACCAAAAAACTAAAGTCATACTGTGCAATTCTCTTGTTTTGTCGCATTTTAACTTCTGTGATGTCGTCTATGACAAATGTCTAACTAAATTCACTTCAGATAAAATACAACGCGTGCAAAATTCTTGTCTGAGACTTATTTTTGGTTTGAGTAAATTCGATTCAGTGTCAGCAAAGCTTACTGATGCTGGCTGGCTGAACATGAAGCAACGCAGGCTGCTTCACAGCCTCGTACAATACCATAAGATTATTATACAAAAACTACCTTCCTACTTACACGAAAAAATTCATTTCCGTTACTTAGCTCACAATCGCAATACCCGCAACAAAACTAAACTGACACCGCCTTTTCATTCTACCACCTTATTCGAAAGATCTTTTTCGTATAATATCAGCAAACTTTATAATAATATCCCGCGAGAGTATACTTCTCTTTCTATTGATTTGTTTAAAAAACGTATACGCTGCTACATTGCAGGGAATTGCATGGTATGACTTTGGAGGCATTATGTATTTTTATAGTACCATTTTACAAATTAGCCGCTAGGGTCCATTCTCTGATACTGCTTATACATGTGTGTATGTATATGTGGGTATATATGTGTATATATGTATATGTATGTATATGTATGTGTATATATGTATATGCTCTTTATCTCATTTTTATATATATGCTTACCTTATTATGATGTAAACCTAAAACCAGGGGTTAAGTGGAAGAGCGGATAAGCCGAACTTCGCCCCTCCCACTATATGTTCTTATAAGACTGGTTTTGCAACTTGTTTTGTATTTTCTTTGGTGGGAATAAAGACATTATTATTATTATTATTATTATTATATCGAAACCAAGCGCCAAAGTGTCGAATGGAAGCACCCACGCGAGCCAAATCCGAAAAACAGCCGTTTGGAAAAGTCCAAAGTGAAGACAATGTTGATTTGTTTTTACGATTCGTAGGCAATTATTCACAAAGAATTCCTTCCACCGGGCCAAACGGTTGATGCTGTGTTTTATCTTGGTGTCATGAAGCGTTTGCTGTCTGTCGCGTATTCGTCCTGTTCGGCCGGAATATAGCGAAGAAAGAAGCTGGCACCATCTCATCGATCGACATTTGAGTCCGATTTTTTTACAAAAAAAATGGCATTTTAAACATCAACCACTCCCCATATTATCCAGATATGGCACCGTGTGACCATTTTGTGTTCGGTAAACATTTTTCCAATAAACGGACAGCGGTATATCGACGTAGAGGCTATCCAAAAGGCGTCGACGACCATTTTGAAGGACATCCCGGTCAATGAGGTAAAATCATCATTGTAAAATCTTTTGGTCAACGCAAATCGCTGTATTAACTGTCCAATTTTGGCACACTCTCTCCAACATATCGGCCGGTATCTCACGAATAAATGCTTATATTGGCTTCCAGTGCGTCAATCGTTGCTGGTTTATCCCTGTAGACATTAGCCTTAACATGGCCCCACAAGAAATAGTCCAACGGCGTTAAATCACACGATCTAGGCGGCCAATTGACGGGCCCCAAACGTTCACCGAACTCGTGTGTGGTGTGGCATGTGGCACCGTCTTGTTAAAACCACATGTCAGTCAAGTCCAGCTATTCCATTTTGGGCAACAAAAAGTTTGTTATCATCGCACGGTAGCGCTCGCCATTCACAGTTACGTTCCGGCCATTGTCGTCTTTGAAGAAGTACGGCCCGATGATGTCAACGGCCCATAACCCACACCAAACAGTGATTATTTCGGGATGCATTGGTAGCTCTTGCAATGCTTCTGACTGGTCTTCACTCCAGATGCGGCAATTTTGCGTGTTAACGTACCCATTCAACCAGAAATGAGCTTCGTCGCTGAACACAATTTTTCGATAAAAATGTGGATCTTCCTCCAACTTTGCCAGCGCCCATTCACCAAGTTGGAAACGTTGTGGGAGGTCATGTGGCTTCAATTCTTGCACCAGCTGTATCTTATAAGGTTTTACACCCAAATCCTGTCGCAAAATTTTCCACGTACTGGAGTAACAGAGGCCCAATTGCTGAGAACGGCGGCGAATCGACATTTCACGGTCATCACTAACACTGGCGGATACAGCCGCAATATTTTCTTCAGTCCTCACTCTACGTCTGCGTGTTGGTGGTTTAATGTCCAATAATGTAAACTGGGTTCGAAATTTAGTCACAAGCTTCCGAATAGCTCCCTCAGTAGGCCGACCAAATTGCCCATAAATTGGAAGCAGTGCTCGATGCACTCTCTTAACCGAGCATGACTTTTGAAAGTAAAATTCAATAATTTGCAAGCGTTGTTCGTTCGTAAGTCGATTCATGGTTAAATTATAGACCAAACTGAACAAGTTTGACAATGACACAAGACACGATTCACGCGTCATCTGTCAACAACAGCGTTGCCAGATGACGCAAAAAAATATCCCATTATAACTCAACTTCGGTTAAAACCCAACCACAAGTGTACACTTTTTTGGGTATATTATGTTTATTGGACATTGCCATTGAAAACTTTGTAATTGGACCAATAAACATTATTATTATTATTATTCTTTGTCCTTTTTACTTTGCAACAGACCTTGTATATGGGGTGCTGGCGAGCCTTAATAAAACAACAGAATTTTGGCAATCACAAATATCACATACGTAAGCGATGTCCGCTTTTTTGACATTTCATGCTATGTTGATAGATCCTTACAAGTTTCAGGTACGTTGAAAAAATCATAATGCTGAAAACGCGACATTTTAAATAAATTCATAGCTCTGAACGACATATATTCCAAAGTAAGTAGTGTCCTTGAAAAATTGGTAAAAAAGGTTTATACCATCCCAACAATCTATTAATGTTGTTTTTTCCTTACTCACCCCATTGCTACCGGTAACAGTCTGCACAGTATCGAATAGCCTCCACTGGGGATCTTCAGCATTCTGTGGAGATGGGGCGAACACCCCCTGTCCGAGATGCTGCAGTTGCGGCGACCGCCCCACCGAAGAAGCAGGTGAAGGTGTTGAAAAAGATGTCGAATTCGTCGTAGGCGGATGAGGAGTGGATAATGATGGTGTGTTGACAGCACCCGATCGACGATTACTAAATAAAATGAAAGAATTAGTCCTTGGTAGGTTACACGAGTTGACGACGGACGAATTCACTTTGAACTATTGGCAAAATTCAGATTATTTCTGTTGGTGAACCGCAAGGTAGTAAACTGGGTCCACTAATTTATTTTATACATAAATAACATTTGTGATAATTTAGATTATTGTAAAATTCAGATATTTGCAGATGATAGATCAATATACAGTAATCGACGAAAGTATATAGACAAATTAATATTGTGCTGTATTTCTTTTTCAACTTGTTTTATTGATACACCAACCTGTATAAATAATTCGTTATAGCATAATACTCACTTATACATAAATAAATTCATTAAACTCCCTTCAATAAAAAATTAATTGAAAAAAAACGGGAACTATGAAGGACAAAAATATATAGACAAAGCAAAACAATTATAGAAAAAAGAAGCAAAGTTCATTGAATTATATAAAACCAACCATGTTTGTGTTAATATTTTGTAGCATAACCATTATTATCAATCACCGCCTGGCATCGTCTCGGCATAGATTGTAGAAGTTTCTTGATATAAGATTCATCAATCTGTCTCCACTTTTGCTCTAAAGCGGCAAAAAGTTCATCCTTGTTTGAATAATTTATATCTCGTATTTGCTTATCTAAGGATTCCCATAGATTTTCAATGGGGTTTATATCGGGAGACTGTGAAGGCCATTTGAGAACTGGCATTTTTTCATCCAGAAAGAATTTCTTTGCGAGATTTGAAGTGTGCTTCGGGTCATTATCTTGCTGGAAGATTGATCTTAAGGGCATATTGTCTTCCATAAGGGATAACATGACATGCGACATGCTTTAGTATGTCTGTGTATACAAACTTATCTATAATGCCATCTGTTCTATGTAAAGGTCTCATCCCAAACCCCGAAAAGCACCCAAAAACCATAACAGACCCGCCTCCATGTTTGACAGTGGGCAAAGTGTACTTGGGGTTCAATCTTTGTCAACTAGGGCGTCTAACGTAATGAACACCATCTGGTCCAAACATATTGAACTTGGATTCGTCACTGAAACATACCCTCTTCCAGTCACAGATCTAATCAATCTAATCAAGATGCAACCGTGCAAATTGTAATCGGTCCTTACGGTTTTTCCTCGAGATTAGCGGCTTCTTACTAGGGCGACGTGCAAATAACTTCAAATCATTTAATCTTCTACTTATAGTTTTCGTAGAAACACTGACCCTTTTGTCTCGATTTCGGCTTTTAATTGTCTTGGGGTTTTAAACGGATTTTTGGACGAAATTACTTTTATTAATCTAACTTATCTAGCATTTAGTTTTCTAGGCCGACCACTTCTCTTAGAGGCTTCCAAGATACCTTTATGTTAATATTTGTTCAATATTGCCCAAACTGCTTTACGCTTCAGCTTCAAATTTTTGGCAATGTCGACTTGACGTTGATCATCTTTGTATAACTCAATGATCTTAGTTTTCACATCGAAAGAAATTTGTAGACCACGCGGCATGGTCTTAAAATCACTCAACTTATTCCACAATACTTGATGAACACAAACTAATCCTCTTCTGACACGAAACTGTACTAAACTATTGTTGAAAATAATTTGTCTACATATTTTTGTCACTCATAAAAAAGTGCTTATATTCAGACTTGTGTTCATTGCAGATAATGTAAAAATTTATATTATATATATTATAATTTAGTTTTTCTACTAATAACGCATTTGTTTATGGAGCAATGAAGTATGAATTCGTTTTCTAAAGGTATTTAGGAAAATATTTATATTTGTCTATATACTTTTGTCCATTACTGTATATGAGAAATAACTGAAAAAGTAGCTCTGTTGCAGATCACTAAATAATGAAAACGTAACAAATAACATTGCAGGTTTTTGATAATTTGATGAAATGATCGTTTATCTTTATTTAACTACAGGGTGGCCCATAAGTCCTTTGAGCTGGAAAAAAAGGAATAAAACGAAACTAGTTACATTATGAAGAATTATTATATTTTGTTATCATCTTTATTGAATGGGAATTATGTTTTAAAAATCACATCGTCTAAATGCAATCCATTACGATCACGGCACTCATATAAACGACGTCTAAAATTGTCGATGACTGCGCGGCAAGTCAACACTGTAATGCTTGCCATTTCTCTTCGGATATTTTCTTTCAGGACATCAACTGATCGCGGAGTGGTGTCGTACACTTTACTCTTGAGGTAGCCCCATAAAAAGAAGTCCATTGGGGTCAAATCTGGACTACGTGGTGGCCAGGAAATGTCTCCTCTTCGAGAAATTACTTTGCTGGGAAAAAGTTGACAAACGACGGGCATAGAAGTGTTGGAGGTGTGGGCAGTTGCTCCGTCCTGTTGAAACCAGGTCTGCGTATTATAGCCTGGAAAATTCTGCAACGCTGGTGTCAAAAACTCTTCTATCATTGCTACATATCGCTCCGAAGTAACAGTTAATGCGCGACCTCTGTCGTCCTCAAAAAAATAAGGGCCTACGATGCCATGCGCTGACATAGCAGCCCAAACTGTAACTTTAGGGCTATGTAAGGGCTTCTGATGCTTACGACTTGGATTTTCGGGGCTCCAATAACGGCAATTTTGTTTATTTACATGACCGTTTAAATGGAAGTGAGCCTCGTCCGAGAACAACACTTTATTGAGCGAAGAAAATCGATTCAACATTTCATTCGCAAAGTTTAGTCTCTGAATAGCGTCATTATCTTTTAATTCCTGCACTAACTGAATTTTGTAAGCGTGCAGACGTAAATCTTTCCTTGAAATCCGCTGTAAAGATGTTCTGGGTACGTTTAGTGCACTGGAACGCTTACGAGTAGACTGGGTAGAATTTTGACGAACAGACTGTGCCACAATGTTGATGTTTTCTTCAATACGAGTTGTCCTTGGTCGACCCCACCGCTGTTTATCTAACGTCGAACCAGTCTCTTCGAACTTAGCAACCCAGTTCTTAATCGTTTGAGCTGTTGGACACTTTGTAAAATTGTGTAAATTGTGGTATTCTCGATATTTACGCCGCGCAATGGTTGCCGAAACATTATTTTGATAAAACGCGGGCACACAAAAAGCACGATCCGCTCCAGTGAAACACTCCATGGCGACTGAATTCCCAGACACTGAAGATACTGCCCCCACCTTCGCCCGCGCCGCTCACGCTCACCCGTTAAATTTTATTCAAATTTGAAATTTCAAAGGACTTATGGACCACCCTGTATAATGTTGGACGATGATAGGTTGGGTGGACTTGGCGAGGTGGTCCAAATCGACGTTAGGTATTTTTATGTATATGCAATGGCCGCTGGTGCCTTTTGTATTGTTTATGTCACGCGAGCCGCTGGTGCATTTTCCACTGTTTAGACACATACTGTTCAAAATTTCATCTAGTTTTCGGTAAATATTGGGACAACTTTTCATAAAACAAGCCATTTACAATAAATTAAGACTTTTATTTTGCAAATAACCTCATTTCTCCCAAAAAAGGTACAACTTGGCAACAATGGACATCATTTATCTTATCTGTCAAGAAATGAGCGTTATAAAATGGCCATTGAGAATTATTGTTTGTACTTTCAAATATTTCTTATAAACGCAAAAACTTTGATCTCATTGAAAATACGCGAAAAAAATGGTTAAGGAGACATTGAAAAATCACAAAACAACACCTCTACACAGTTTACCAAGTAAATATCATCATTTACGTATGTATTTTCATTTTGATCTGTTATTTAAGCTAATAAGCTAATGTGTAATAACACGTCTGGTTTTGAACCTTCTTTGCAAAAAACAACGATTTTTTACAGTTTCACATCTATTTTCCTTAGTATTATACAGTGTATGTTATATTCTTAAAATTTAGAGCATCCTTTTGTATAAAAAGCAAAAAAAGACAGCATATAAAACAATATTCTATTATAGAGTATTACCACCAAAAATGCAACTCCGAAGTTCTATAAAAAAGCAAGCAGAGGGTTCCTTAAAGAAAAAATGATATTTTCGTAAAAATTACATCCTAATCTTTCATTTTAAAGTAAGAAATGAAGTATTTGCGATATGCGCTAAAGTCTTACCGAAAATTAAAGTAACCTTTCATGGACATTTAAATTTTTTATAGATACAGGTTTTATTTTTTGAATATTTGTAAATTATGTATTTGTTGTAGTTTTCATGCTAAATAAACCTTAAACAAACAAACTAAATTTGACATTTATCGGTTGCAAATAAGTTGAAAAGAAATACCTGTGAGTGTTAACAGGCGTTGACGGTGTATCCTCAGCGGTAACAGGCGTACTTCCTCTAGTAGATTTCGTAGCTGGCGACGTGGGCGTCCGTCTACCGGGGGTGGTTTGCGACAATCCCGCAGGCCGTGATCTGCTGCTTCTACCGCTGCTTGGCGCCGGAGTGGTCTTGTTGCCTGACGGCGAAAGGCCGAGCATTTTCTGATGGTGCGGTAAGAGGGGCTGGCCGATTATCGGGCCTGTCGGGTCGATCTCGAGACGTTTTATCTGGACGAACTGAAACAAGACAAAAATGAGATTCAATTGGATTGATTTATCACGTCCGAAGATGATCAATGCTGTTAAGGCTGAACAAAAATCATATTTTAAGTATTCGTTTAACAGCCGTTGAGGGAATTCAAAGGCTATCTGGAAGAAATTGAAAAGCCTAGATATTATATGGAAATAAAACAACACGGTAGGTAGTTTTAAATGACTTTATTTTTTTTGCGAAATATTCTCCACGAAGATTAATACACATCTGCATGCGCTCGAACCAATGTTCCAAGCACTTATTCCACTCATTTGCTGGCAGACCCAAAACAGCATTTTTGAATGAGTCAACTGCTTCTTCTGGTGACTGGTACCTTTGACCACGCAGTCTGTTTTTAATTTTTTAATTCCATGTTTTCTTCCGTTAAATACTGCCTTGTTTTTTGGGCTGTGTTCGAGCTTGCATTGTCTTGGTGGAGGATGATTTTTCTTTCGGTGTTAATTTTTCGAATCTCGGTGATGACTTTTGGCAAACAAATGGTGGTATACCAATCCGCAGTAACAGTTCTTTGCTCGTTAAGAGGAATTGTTGCAATATGACCCGCTTTTGACACAAATGTCGCGACCATCTTTTTCGAAACACTTCGAGAACGGATGACTTTTGTTGGCTTTTCTTCACCTTGGAAAACTCAAACAGCCGACTGTCGTTTATTTTCTGCTTCATAACAGTAAATCCACGATTCTCACCACTAACAATGCTCTACACATTTTTTGAGTTTCCGGAATTGAAACGGTCAAGCGTTTTTGACACCAATTAACCCTGGCTGCTTTCTGTTCTTCAGTCAACAGGTGGAGTATCCAACGAGAAACTAATTTTCTTACTCCTAATTCTTCATATAAATTTTTTTTAACTGAGGTCTTTGAGATCTTCAAGGACGCCTCAATCTCGCCATATATCACATGTCTATCTTCAATGATGAGTTTGCGCACAGCATCGACCTTTTTCTGGGTGACTGCCGTTTTTGGTGCACCCACCCTGGTATCGTCGCTAAGACTCACCTGTGTCCACGTTTGAATTCTCCATAGCAACGGAAAATTGTCGACTGATGTGGCGCTTCGTGGCCGAAAAGTAACTCAGCAAGGCATTCTTGTTGCGATAATTGTCTCTGAAAGTTGTAATAAATTATGGCGCGAAAATGTTCTCGGTTGAGTTCCATTTTTCTAATGACTTGGTGACACTTAAAAATTCACTGTAGTGAGAACACTGCACGTATTGTTGTGAAACTTTGAATTTAAGTTTACTAAAGAGTGAGGTTAAGATTCAGTACTGACGTTTGATCCGCGCGGCCTACTATCTTTCTATATGCAAAACTTAAAAGACATCCCTCGTATATGTTTCCGATACATTTGTTTTAGACTCCAAATGACACCCTGGTCCATTGGTTGCAGAACTGATGTCACATTGGGTAGAAAAATTGTAGGTTGATGTTATTAAGTGAAATATTTGGATGAGCGGGACAGATATGGACCAAGAGCAAAATTTTACGATTTTTCTTAACAAGTTCAGCATCCCACTTTTTTAAATATTCTTCAAAAATTGATGAAGTCATTCAAGCTTTATTATTTCCAACATAATCGACGGGAATTGTTTTAACATTTTTGAAACAGATGCGATTCTTAAATTTCCCTGAAATAAAAAAAAGATCATAAATTCTTTGCAGCACTGCCATTGAATATCAAAAAAATAGAACATGAATTTTTATTCATTCACTTACCTATTATCAATAGTTTCCGTTTTCCAGTACCACAAGCATTAGCACAAATCATACAGTTATTCCCTCTTTTGATAGTTACCTTCCATTGCAAGTTTCACCTTTTAATTTACGAGTTTTATATGGTGGCATTCTATAAAATATCCCGGTTTCATCTGCATTGAACATGTTATCATCTGAATAATCACTGGATATTACGGACCAAACTGCATAAATCCAGTCATTGGTAACGTTCTTGTCAACTGAAACTGACTCACCACACATTTTTCCAAAAACAATGTTATGTCTTTTCTTAAACCTGTCTAGTCAACCGGAACTACATTTGAAGTAATCTCCAATCAATTTTCCAAATTCTTCAGCCTTTATTTGTAGCATAGGTCCATTTATTGGAAAATTATTAGCACGCTTTTGTTGAAACCATTTAAACAGCATATCATCGACTTGGGGATACCGCGATAGTGGCATTTTTTTCTTTTGACTATTTGATTTCCACTCATTTTTAATTTTCCAAATATTTGACACTAAAAAAATAGCTCGCATATAATGGATTAAAATACTCCGGTATAAGCGAGGGTCTATTTTAAGCGAGTCTATAATATCCGAGGATTTTACATGCAATTATTTATAGGACCTTAAACTGTGTCCATTATATACGGGTTCCATTATAAACAACTTCATTATAGGTGGATTCCATTGTATACAGTGATCGTAATAATTTTCATTTATTTCTAAAAGAATGGCAAACAAATGATGATTTCGTGAAATATGATAATTTCAAGAGACTTAATACAAATACAATCAAGCCTTGTTAGACAAAAACAAATTTTAACGGTTCACATACCTTCCTAAGCGCCTTAGCCTGCTTATAAATATTACTTCCCGGCTCGTTGAAGAGACACGTATTCTTGCACATCAGCAACAAGTCCCGCTCCATCTCCACCAAGTGATTGTACTTGTTCCCATGAACTTTAGCCAGTATCATCTTCAAATCGATGGGTTGTTCGACCACCTCATAGTACTCTGGATACTCCTTCTTGGAGGGAAGCAACTTGAACGGATGGTGAAGCGGTTTGTGATGCTCGTCTTTGGCGGACATCACAGCTGTGTAGAGCTCTTCGAACGGAGTACGTTTTTTGCCGCTCTTTTTGGCGGGGGTGCTAGGTTCTTTCTTGTTTTCTAACGGTTTCTCATCCTGCATATAAAAATTGGTATCACAAATTTAGATCACCTGAAAATGTGTAGATTCTGAAATCAATAAAAGTCACGAGCGATCCATTTTCCATCACAAACTCAGAACCACGATACTTTACGATTTTTTGAGGGTTATATTAGTGTCCCAAGTTCCATTTGCTTGTAACAAAAAGGGAATGAACATGAACATTTTGACCTACAAATTTCATAATACAGAGTTCCCAGATATTCGAGACTTTCCTTTTCAGAAATAGCTACATTTGAAATGACAAAGTTAATGTGCGATAAAACAACGAAAACGCAAGAAAGAAACTGAAAATTACTCACTATTCATTTGATAAGAAATTTCAAGTACTGGCCTGTCGCATGTTTTATCCATAAATACTGCTACTACTGTGTCCAAACATACAGCTTTTGCATGAAATAAACAAACCTACGCACTTCGAGATGGAAACATCCAGGACAACGATTTGAATACACTCGCGAAATATCAATAGCATCTTGAAGACGCTAACGGTAAACTGTAAGACTGTGCCAATTTCCATTTTTCAAACTTGATTTGTAATTAGGTTAACCACACTGCGCAGCACTTCGTACCTTTTCACGTTGGACGCTGGGCCGAGCTGGTATTTCAGATTTTGTCTGAACCTAATACCCCTGATATCGCAAGGTTTTGGTACATGTGTTACTAGGAAAATTTGCTTATTGTTGATTAAGCTATATGATCAGTCAAGGACAGTCACACCTTTAAGGACACAATATTATGCGGGTCTGCGCTCTAAATGAAAAGTCGTTTTACCCGTAAATTGAATTCATAGATTCTGAATTCAATGTAAAAATGACGTTAGAATCTGCGAGTAAAATCGTAACGCCCCCTCCTTTGTCCTGCAATTGAGGGTTCAAAATGAGTTGGGTTTATATTCTTGCACAGTCATTGACTTAACTGGTTTTTGCACAGTGCTGTCAGTCTAATACAACACAGGTACCCCGAACCCGGAAATAGTTTCCTTCCGTGCGATAGGAGCTTTGGAACCATGGAAATACAAAAAGAAAGCACGACAAAATATATTTGAGTACTCAAGGGTTATTCAAAAATGCAAACAAAAACTTTAAAGTCATCCTTGAAGCGTAGGATATATTTTTAAATTTCAACGCCCATTTGCAACAGTTGTTTGTAAAGGATTCTTCAAGGAAGAACAATAAATTTACTATTTCAAAATATCGAAACAGGCTCTATGAAAAACTAGGTAATGAGATATTTAAAGTAAAACAGTCTGTTTGTATCAGTTTAATATTTTTGAAATCCGAGATAAGAGGATTGTGCTGCCCCAGACTCTAACAAACACTACAAATAAGATATTTAGTGAAATAAGAAAGCTAAAGAAATATAAATTTGACACGTTATGACTGGTTATGGTTCTATCAAGAAATCAGAAAATACTACAGGGTGCGCCATCTTTTATGTCGGTATGTAAACATGAAAAAACTTTGAAAACGAAAAACTGACTTCTATATATCGGGTATTTTTATTAAATATGGTCCTTTGCAATTTATTGGGAGTAGTTTTTGAACACAACATCTATCAAGTGGCCACCTTTATTGGCCAAAACAAAATGTGCCCGTTTTGCTGCGTTTTCCATTACTTTTTCGAGCATCTCTGGTGGTATAGCGGCGATTGCGGTACGAATGTTTCAAATAACCCTACAAGAAAAAGTTCGGTGGGGTCAAATCTGGAGACCTGGGTGGCCAGTCAATGTCACTTCTTTTTGACATCAGACGTCCAGGCAATTTTCGTTGCAGAAACTGGATTGTTTCATTTGCAGTGTGGCATGGCGCACCGTCTTGTTTAAACCAGTAACCATCAAGACCTTTTTCCCGCATTTGTGGACAGACATAACGAGCCAACATCCACCGATATCGATTTCCATCGACTGTTTCGTTTTCGTTGAAGAAAAATGGCCCAATGAAGGTTTTGGCGCAAACGCCGGCCCAAGCAATCACTTTCCGGTCATGGAACGGCATTTCGTGGATCTCAGGTGGATTTTGCGTCCCCAAATGCGGCAGTTTTGCTTATTAACCTCGTCGGTCATCACAATTTGCTTCCAAAAATCAGGTTCAGCATCAACCATGCGAGCGACTGTTTGGGCGTATTCCAAGCGACGCAACGTGGTTCCACTGATGCCGAAATGCCGAGCGCGGTGACGATACGACACTATTGTGTTCTGGGCAACGTTGTCTCTGACCACTTCAACCAATTCATTGGAACTTCTTGGTGGTTGATGAACGGTATGTTGACGATCTCCCACTGTCCCGTACTCAAGAAAATTCGAACCAAACGATGGATAGTGTTGTCAGACAGTGCCTGTTTGCCACGATATTTTCGACGATATGCACGTTGCGTTAACACATCTGAACGACAATTTTCAATGTATACGTACATTGTGACTATTTCGGCGCGTTGTTTCGGTGTAAAGCGATTCATGACTAACATTGTAGTAAATTGACGTGTCAGAAACACGTATAACCAAATCACTCGGTTGGTAAATATCAAAGTCATTCGATGTTTCAATACCGACATAAAAGATGTCGTACCTGGTATAAGAGCTTTTCACCAGAAGATAAACGTTCGCATCAGAATTCAGTGAAGATGAATAAATAAAAATATTTTAAGTTTGTATGAAAAGCTGACTTAAACCATGTATATTACTTTATTTCATTCGCACACATTACTTTAATTTTATCCCTTAACCCCTTAAGTGGCTGTAGCTGCTTCCCGCGATGCCTTTTCAGGTGGCACGTCGTTTTACCGCTTGCGTAGTGCGTACATATTCGTCTATGCCACTGACAATTGAAGTGCAGGCGTACATATTCGTCAAAGCCACGTGAATTGGGTTACTGGAAATTAAGTGCGTACATATACGGGAAAGCCACCATGACAAGTACTTTTTTTAAACAATTAATGCTCCTAAAATTACTTAAAGCTTATTTATTCAAAAGAAAATACAGCCAAAAACTTATAGAAAATATTATTCTTTTGTATGGTATATCCACAAAACAAGGTGCAGGACAGAGACCAGTACGACACTCTAAGCACCAATAACGACTCTCTTTTCGCTTCTTTTGTTCAGCACATACAACGCATCTGCAGTAAAGAAAAACGCAATTAAACAAACGTAGAGTGATAAGTTTTTGGCAGAGTTACCTTTTTGTCGGTTTTGCTTTTGTTGTTGGTGCTATTATCGATGGAAAATGTCTTTCAGTCAGTCTTGTGGGCATTGGCGTTCTAGAACTTCTTTTCTTCATTTGTAAGGGTTTGCTGTATTTTTCTACTACCTTCTCACCCAGCTCCAGTAAGTAGTTCATTCTTTTTAGTTTTCCGCCAATCTTCTTATAAATTTGAAAGGCATTCAATGTAGTGACACTTAAAAAATGGAAAAACATCTTCATGTAGTACTTTTTAACTCTAGTACGAGCAATTCCATAAAAGTGGAGGTAATTGTCAGATAAATCGACACCACCCATGCTGGCATTGTAGTCGATTACGCAAGCTGGCTTTTCAATTTCCTTACTTCTTGCTGCAATTTTTTTCATGCTGTCATCGTGAATTGTGCTTATCATAAGGACGTCTTTCTTGTCGCGCCATTTCTGAATCATGAGCTTTCTTCTGAAACGTGCTACGGTTTCACCTCGCTGTAATTTTACTTTTATTGCCTGTGGTATTCCTTTTCTATTTATTCTCATTGTACCAACACCATCTGTCCTTCTTTTTACTAGTTTGTCGAGCAGGTCTATGCTTGTATAATAATTATCTAAAAATAGGCAGTGTCCCTTATCTAAAAGAGGATGAATCAATGTCAACACTACCCTCGAAGTAAGTGGTTCATTTTCATACAAAGCATTGTATGCGGTATCTGCCCCAGTATAAACTAAAAAGTTGTACATGTAGCCACTGCTACTTTCACGTAAGGCAAAAACTTTCATGCCAAATCATTTCCTTTTTGAGGGTATGTACTGTTTCCAAGCAAGTCTGCCTTTCCATCCTATCAAGGACTCATCTATGGATATGTTTTGCTCTGGTACATAGGCTGACATATATTTTTCTTTCAGCAAATCCAAAACTGGTAAAACTTTAATCAATTTTCGGCTTTTTGTATGCGGATTTATGGTAGAATTATCTACAAAGTGTAAAAACTTTAGCAACAAATGAAATCGTCTATCACCAATAACTTTAGAGAAAAAAGGAGTCTCGATGCTCTCTCGTCGTGAAAAGTATATTTTATATTCAGGCTTAGGACAGATACTTTGTAATATTAGCAACCCGAGAAGGGTCCTAATTTCATTACTATCTGTATCAAACCATTTTTTTAGCTCGGGAATTTGGCTTGAGCTTATCTTGATTCGAAGAAATATACTGCGATGCGTATCTGTTTGTTTCTCTGACTATTATATCTATTAGGTCATCATCGAAAAAATATTCAAAGATTTGCACTATATCCTTTGAATTGTTCACTTGAACACCACTGTTTGACGTAAAAGGGAACGCTGGCCTAGGAATCCCATTTTCTGTCCAGGGCATTTCAAAACTTGTATCAAGATTAGGTTCATGCTCACTTTCGGTATCGCTCGCTTCAAAATCTTCGGAAACTGGAATCGTTATCTGATACGTCAGAACTAGTGCATTGATTCCCGTCATCACTGGAACTATCTATAGTCATTTCATCATCAGAACTAGACATTATTAAACGTAATTTGAACACAAACAATCAAGCAACACACAGCCGGTTTATTGAAACCCACACAGTACTGACTACTAGCTTACACCGAAATCAAATGGCGGCAGACAACATGCGGTGTTGATGGCATTACAAACACACGTGATTGTTCCTTATTGGTTATATTTACAGTGGAAGCATCGCAGGCGAGCATATTCGTGATAGCCATGGACGGCCCCAATAAAATATTCTTAGCGAATATATCCGTCATGATCAACCTGGATAAAAAATATATTGGCGGATATATCCGTCATTACCACTTAAGGGGTTAAAAGCCAAGTCCATCAATCTTTGCCACATAGGTCATTTGTTTATTTTTGTAAGTGGTGGAGGCCCTAAGAATAAAATGAGTATTTTTGAGAGAAAAATGAATAGTTTAGACTTTTCATGTCAATATGAATGAAAATTCTCCATCGCCGAGTCGCTGGCAATTGAAAACGAGGATCGCGAGCACGGGGGTGCTTTACTTACATATTCAGAAAACGAGAGCTGTTGATTGAAAAAGTTAAAAATCATGAGTATACTTTAGTAGCACTTATGAAGACAAACATCTATGACAATTGGAAAGGGGAGGTGCTGCGTCCCACAATACACCAAATATCAATTTTTCAATTCATTGGAATCGTCTATGGACCTGAACATCTAGGCTCATTGTATTGTGAAACATCCCAGAATAATGAGAAATTTAGCATCTCTGAAAAAATGAGTACAAAAGAGTAATAGAAAAGGCGAGGAGAAACGAGAGAAAAAAAGACAGTTACATTCCAAGCAAGGAGGTACCACCCGGCGGATCTCCAAGGTGGTGCCTGAATCTGCACAAGTCACACGCAAAAGTGTTCCCAAGTCTATGTATCCCCCTGTATCACTCTATGGCTCCACAGTACCCATGAGTATTTAGATCTTAGGCCTGCATGGTGGCCCAAGTATATAAAAAAAGAATAACCTTGTTTTTCACAATAAAAAATGAAGCATACCTCTTCATCCTCGTCTTCATCGTCATCGTGCGTGTCATGATTTTGATGATTTTTCTGATCACTTTTTATAACGCCACTACGACGAGAATTTCTTGTAGCTGGTAGCTGTTGCTGAGATTGCTTGTTATTGGATCCTTTTTTATTTTCCTCCTCTGCACTACGCAACCTTACAAAAAAAATAGTTGAGCTTTTAATGTAAAATCTAACAATGACTATCAAATGAGTTGTTTTTTATTATGTATGATGCAATCATACAAAAAGTGCCAATGTTTTTGCTATCTTTCATTTCTTTCCAAAAATGAAGTTCTGATAGTCCAGAATGGTAATTACATAGGAACTGATTAGTTTGACTCTCGGATAGGGAGAAATTCCTTGTTGCAAACAACAGTATTTATAATGATGACCCAGTGCTTCTATTTAATTACATTATTTCCATTAAACATACTTGTTTTTGGTGGATATGAACAGATCCCACAGCTCAGTCGCATCCTTGTGCTCCTGAGAGGTCCTCTTATAGAAGGACTTTGTGTTATTGACAAGTAACTCAATGTCATTCTGCAACTCCTCTATATTTTCATACTCGTCCGTTCTGAGTTTTTGCTGCACTCTGAGCAGGTCTATTGGGTTGCTGACCACCTCATAGTATCCAGGCTCCTGTCTTCTTTTTGGAATACGAATGAAGGTGTCACAAAGCAATGAACCATCTTTCTTTTTATGGTTTCTTACTACATCATACAGTTGTTGAATCAACTCCACCTAAAACAGAGTAAATAGAATCAGTTTCTAAATATTTTGTCAAACCACGTTAATAACATTAAAGTATCCAAGTTACAAAAATTTTAAAGATCAAATACTGTTTATAGTTTGTGTCTGCCATAAACAATGTTTTTGTGGTAATTTGTAATAATATAGGTTGTGGTGAATGAAACAAAAAATAAGATATCATAACCACTTATTTGCGTGTTATGGAAGATTAGAAATTGACAAAGGAAAATGTTTCCTTCCTTTATGTCAATCTACCAGTACAAGCCATTTAGTATCATATATTGATGAAAACTTCCACATTGTTAAGAGATTAATATGAATTTATAAAATCGAATGAAAATAATAATAGTAATGTTCTTTATTTTCACATCATATACATACATTTCACATACAAATGAGAAAGTAAATAATGATATTGGGAAAACTGCAAAGGGGAGTTCACCTAGAGGTGTTCTTCCACTTAACCTTGCCTAAAATATATGTAAAAAATAGCCTAAAACACACATTTAGAGCCAAAACATTTTGTTTGTTTGTTGAAGATTTATTTAGCATTAATACTACAATGTCAATTTTGTATAATTATTCGTTTACACATTTTTTTTTAATCCATTTTCTGTAATTTCACATTCTTGTCTAATAAAATTACATCACCATGCATTTGAGTATTCATAGTGATTTTTTAGTTTCATCTTAAACATTTTTAAATTCGAACACTGTTTAATATCACTATTGAATTTATTAAATTCAAATACTCCCTTTTGAAATACAGATTTGCTAGTTATGCTATTACAATTTTGCAGATGAAAATCTATACTGCCTCTAGTTTTGTAGTTAATTGTGTGAATTTTTCTAAATGTCGTGGCAATAAATGACTTTGTAATTTGAACATGAAAATGAGTACTGAATAACATGAAATTTTTCACATTCAACCACTGTAGTTCTTCTAACATAGACTTAATCCTAGCATATTTGTTTTTATTTAAAATGATTCTCATAGCTTTATTTTGTAGAATTTGTAATTTTGAAAATATGTTTTCATTTGCTGTAAATAAGATGGTTCAACACTATAAAAAATAAGGAAGAGTTACAGTGTAATACACAATTTTTTGGAATACATACTAAGCTGATGAGAAACTTTATAGGAGTAATTATCTTTATTAATATTTTTCAAATAATGTATAAATAATGCTCATGAAACAGTAGTCTATCCACATATACAGGGTGACTTCGAAGTTGAGTCATTTATTTTAAGAGTGAGTAGATCTGATCAAAAGAAATGTTTTTTTCCTTTACCATTTTTCTGGTAAAATTAAAGTAACAAAGTTATAGCCCTTTGGAAGTTTGAGTACCGCCCTGTCTCAATAATAATATTATGTGCTCGTGTTTGGCAACAACGGATATAATCCGCCTTATCGGTTCATCGCATCGGAAACAAAAAAGCGAAAGAATTTGGAACGATGTTTTTACAATTATTTTATTCAGTTGTATACAGTCAGTGTCAGTCGGTAACGCGTGAGTGAATAGTGGTGTCTGTTGCGTGGCTCAAACGAAATAAAAAATGGCACATGTTTACGAAAATGCTGAACTTGTGGACATGATTCTTATTTACGCGGCATCACGGATTTATGCGGATCGGTTTCCCAATCGAGTGCAACCAACCCCTCGTGCCTTTGTTAATGTAGTACAAAGGGCTCGTGAATCAGGTGACTTAAGACCTCACAGGGGAGGGCATGCAGCTGCTCCAAGACTGCACGATCAAATACAGGTCCGCACTGAAATACTTGTCGGGAGGATACTTTATAAAACAAGGTAACATTTTTTTTTATTTTTACACACATATTTTGGTTTATCTTCCTTCTACAATCATTATCTGAAAATTAATGACTCAACTTCAAAGTCACCCTGTATACCCATACATTTAAATGATTTGAGTACTTCAATATTTTCATCATTTTTAAGTATCCATTGCACCTAAACTAGATATTGAAATCATTCTTCCAAATAATAAAGATTATTGATATTTCAGTTGAAGATAAAATTATGTGCAATAGTTATAAATGTTGGTAATAGTGTGCTATTTGCAAAAAAAAATTATTTGAATAGATGAATAAATATTTTGCATTCAAAAAGTGTATTTTAAATGTATGCACTTCTTTGCGAATGAATAAGTAGTAGCAAAACTTTTCCCTCCAAAGACCAAAGTATAATTTAATGCCAATGAGAGTGTACTGAACAGTAGGAAATTCAAAACGGTGAGTGTTTTTAAAATGAATTAATGTAATTAAAAATCAAAATTTAAGTTCCAGTTTTGCTACACCACCTATAAACATTATTTTCCACAAATGCTTTTAGTGAGAAAGAGCAGCTTTAAACAACCGACTGTTAAAAGTACCATAATGGCAGAACTTGGAACTAGAGTCATAGTTAAAAAATATGGGTTCAATAATATCCAAACATGTTCATTCTAATGCAAAATTCAGTATGTTCAACAAAGCATAAAATATGCAATTTGTAATTATGTAGAACTGTTAATAATCAGTAGCTTTAGAGCTAAAACATTCTGATTCAAATTTTGTGATCTAGACCAACACTTGTTTCCCAGGTGGACTGAGTATATAATTACTGAATTTGATGCTTTATACTTCTGTAAAACCATTTAAAACAATAAATAGCAACTCTAGAACTACCACAAATCTGGCGGGAATTCTGTTCCAAACTCATTTGTTTTATGTTATGTTTGTACGAGTGTATATGGAGTTTCAACATACTGGATCTTGATGTCTTTTCCTCTTCCTCATAGTAGGACCACTGCTGGTGGAAGCTTCCAAGCTGTCCAACGAGTCATCCTCCTGTCCCTTGCTCGTGATAGAGCTGGTTCTTCGTCGTTTACTCATCGTTCACCTACAATACACGCACTCAATGAGGATCCTGTCTACAATTACCACTTCGAGCGATCCGTTTTGAGGTACCAGATACTTCCATATTCGAATACTGCTGGTGAGATGTTTGTTCGAGCCAAAAACACACAAATACCTGTGCTATTGTAGCTAGCAGTTGGTCTCTACCGATCGTCCGCGAAGAGGTTACCTTCGTAACATTGGTGCAGCTCCTATCACCGTCTTATCGTCGACGCGCTTCAGGTGTTCGACAAGCTGAATTGCAGAGGTCCGGACATTTTATCTCATTATTAATATACAAAAACGAGATATATGTAAATAAGGCGCGACAAACCACTCATCACTCGATATTCGTACAATGGCGGCTAACGATGTTTAGATAAAGACGGATAGATGAGTGGTATAGGAGTTAGAAAAGGATGGAAGATTATGCCAAAAAATGGCACACCATTTTGTGTTTGAAGGGTTGCCGTACCTACAAGAATGGCGATGCCCACAAACGTCAAAATAAAACAAATATAATGCAAACGTATCGATTATTGCGTTATGGAAGATGTTTGCAGAATTTTTGAGCATATTTTGACTAAACAGTATCCAATACTTATTGATTAAAGAAAACATTTAAACCTAAATGTCAATTCCATGGATTTCAATATACATGGAATCCATCACTGTAGAGATGGGTTGTCTGAATCGATTCAGAAACGTATTATTTTTTATTAATAGTTTTAGAAAACTCGCGACAAAGCTAGACGTGTCGAAATTTAGGTTACATCATATTGTTTACATAAACAATGATTTAACACGTTAACGAGCAATATTGTGCACACTCTGTATCCCTATGTGGACAGTTTCAAGTCATAAGGGTCACATATTTTAAGTATTTAAATGTGGTGTTTACTAGGTTGAGTCCTTGGGAAATAAAATACCTAGATCCAGAAGCAAATTTCAAAAATTTAGCGCTGGTCGTTAACGTGCTAAATAATATAGACGAACAATGAAGTGAGAATAAAAAATCTATAAAATATGTTCTAACAATTTTATTTACAATTTTTTGAAAATATACATCCACAGCTCTAATATGAACCTTGTTCAACTGTGAAAATTTCTAATTTGGCTATCTCATGTAAAAATGGTGTTTAGTTGATTCTTGTTGCAAGGAGCTGTTGTGAACATACTACCTGAAAAAAATATTCAGTTTATTTTGTTAACTTATAAAAATTAGCTATAAAAGCCTACCTATAAATTGTTTAGAAGACCCATGTTCATTTGCTACTACAGTGCAATCTTTGATTTCAAATATTTGAAAATCCATGCACCTAAATTTTTCGTCAGTTTCATACAATTCTTTTAAAGAAGATGGTGTAAAGTATGGCCTTCCAGAAAAAGGATTTATAAAGTCTGCCCAATACCCAGTCTTTCTCAGTTTGTCACAAATATTCTTTGAGGCAATGAGAAACTAAAATAAATATCTATGAGACATTACAAAATATGAAGAAGCATAGAATTCCTTACAGTTTGAGCTTGTTTTTCAGTTTCCAGCTCCTTGTTACTTCTCATCAGCTTGATGTTTGGCTTTAGACTGATGGTAACAACTGAGAGATCACAACTTTCCTCAAATGTTCTATATGGGAACAGGTCTCCAACTGTTTTACGTAATACTGTAGGGCATGGGTGAACCCTACATATCATGTTCCCTTTACTATTTCCATCACTAGTCTGTAAAAGAAAGGTATTAGAAATTGGAATATTGTATAATAGCGTCTCATTACATCATCAATTTGTTCCATGATTAATTCATGATGGGTCTTGATGGTTGTCTGGGAGTCATACCATGCCAACCCTACATCCCCAGGTAAGAAAAGAGGAAAGCCATTTGCAGCTAAGAGTTCAAAGTTTGGATCCTTCCATACCAAGCTACTGTCATCTGTAAGAAGGATATATTCAAACATCTTGGAATACACGATAAAGTTTGTAACATTGTACCCTAAAATGAAGAGTACCTTTTATGGTTCTACGTGGTTTCACCGTTTTGTAAGGGGTTGTAGTTCCATTGCTACTCGCTTTCCTAGAGTAAAGTCGAAGTGCCTGGGAAACTGTTCTAGTTTTAGGAAGGTGTTTTAAAAAACACAAAACTCTGCCTGACATTCTAGACACGCTGTGACATTTCCAAAAAATAATACATCTCATTTGAATAATGTCAAAACGACGTCAAGTGAAAGTTATAAATATTGATCATATGGCTTATGATCACGATATTGCCAGAGGTCCTTACAATGTTGCCACTATTCAGTTATAGAATGTAGCGTTGTGATTTTCCCCACGAAAAGAATCGATTACTAAATTGCAGGGGCGTAACTAGCGTAGGGCAAAATAAGGTTATACCCCGCCGAGCCATTATTTCTTCTTAATTTTCAAAAAACTCAACTTAAGCATCTCATCCATCAGTTGTAGAATGCAAGTCGATCTTTCTTTTTTTCAAATCAACGTTTCAAATACACCGAATCATTACTTATTACGTGGTATGACCCCAAAGAAGGAAAAACACCGTAGCGGTTTAATGATACGCATAAAAGCCCAGAAGCAACCATATTGAAGTTGTTAAATACTCTCAATACGGACAAAATAATCCTGATGGACTACTGGAAACGTACGTAACGAGAAAATTGTAGACTTTTACATTCTAGCTGGAAGCTTACAATAAAAAATCTTATTTATAATATTTATTGATATTTCAAAACTGATACTAAAAAATATAAGCAAAACAATGCACCAGTGAAGATAAGCAAATAATGTGAAATGTAACTCATCTCGAGTTGAAATCAGAGGATAATCATAAGATTAAGATTGATAGATAGGGACGGTGTTCAATGTTATAGACCCGTCAAATTATACTGAACTGAGAACAAACTCCTCATCTCGAAGGCACTTTCAAAGGCAGAATGTTTTATACTATATGATTTGGATCGCTACTTCTGGAGATACCAGTTATTTAGTACGATATGAGATAATTTCAATCGAGGCTTATCCCATTCACAAAAGGCCTCGAAGCATGTAATAATTATTTATTTTAATTTGCAATTTCTGGGAAACTGCAAATGACTCAAAAATTAGTACATTAACGCAAAAACTTTTATACCATCATAATGAAAAAAGATAACCCAAAAACGTAAAAACATTACAGGTACAATTTGATTTTTTGCGATGGATATTTTGCGTAATATAAAAATATTTTATAGACGATGAATAAAATTAAAAAATCATTATTAAATGACGCAAAATCGTACACCTATTTTGCAGAAAGGCTTGCTACTCTACCTGCAAAAGTGACTGATTTACAAGCTGTCAAAGTTGAGTGTTTTCTGGCACAGATAGAGCGGCTCAAACCTGTATGTATGCTATTATGTATATAAAACTTCTTCTTTTAAGATGACTTTCAGAATATTGCCACGAGTGATCACCCTTACACGCCTTACACGCGCCATGTAGGTCGATAGATATCCTAAACCGCATCCGCTGATACTGCATAATCTGCAAAGGTGTATGTATTATTCGCCGCCGGTAGGGGTTCTACCGGTTTATAAAAACTGGATGGACCGACCCGTGGGATTATTCCTGCCCTGGAATGACTCAGGGCGAATCTCTCTTCGTGGGACTGGACCTTCCTGGGCCAAAAAGCAAGTTCCTGTTTTATATTATTGTACTTTTATTGCGAGGCGTTTTGTTAATACACTTTGATATTTTATTAAAATATATAGGATGTTTGATTTAAAATAATGCATGTGCTTTTGTGTGTATATTGTTTATAATAACAGAACTAACGACCTATTACTTGTATATGCAGGGTGTAAAGTTTTAGTAGTAGATCAACGGACGTCAGGTAATAGAGGGATTCAAATCTATGTGTGGTCCGAAATTTTATAGTACAGGCGATATTTGCAATTTTGTGAAATTTCGAAAAAACGGGATAATGAATTTTCAATCGCAATTACAAATAAACCATTATGCTTAGGGCTGTGATTTTTTTTCAAATCAGCGTAATGAGCTTGGGCATTCAGCTCGGCATTACAGGTGCGGATGCGTCCAATCTTCGGTCCGACCGAAATTACTAAGGCTCGTATCGTCAGTCGTCCCTACAATTGTAGGGCGCGTTTATGGCCTCCTTGATTGTCATACTCCTTTCTCTCCTTCAAAAATTTCTAGATTACACTTGTCCCATGTCAGCGCCAGCGCTCTCCTATTGTGAAGATATGTTTTCTTTTTAAATTGTAGGAAATTCCATGCTGATAAAACATGATATAACTCAAAAGCAAGCACAATTTGATGCAAATAGATGTTTGTGACATAACCTCAAAATAGAGTTCTGACACGGAGAAGTAGAAAACTATGACAATCAAGGAGGCCATAAAGGTGTCCTACAATTATTGTAGGGACGACTGACGATACGGGCCTAAGTTAGGCAATGGTCCAGCGCGGAATTTGTATCTAACGTTTGGCATCTGAGTAGAATCATGTCATATTCTCCGCGAGATTATGCAGAAATGCATTACTATTATGCTGCTGCCATAGAAAATGCTCGAGCACCTGCTCGCATGTATCGAGAGAATGTGGTTAGAAGTGGTGGACCACATCCGGCGATATCGAATCTTGGCTGTCAGTTTACTCTAGCTTGACAGTTTCTGAGTCGTTTGGAATTTTTTTTAATATCTTTTTGTACTATTTTAATAATCATTTTCCTTTACATAAAGCATGTAAGGGAAACAGCTCAAAAAGTTGGGTTACACATAACGTAAGAAATTCAAGCAATAATTTGAAAGATTTATATCATACTTCACAAAAAAATCCAAGACTAAAGTCACTGTATAATGATGCTAAAAAGGCACATAAAAAATTGATCAGAGACACAAAAAGATCATTCTACCAAAACAAAATTGTATTGTCTAAAAATACCACCAAAGCATGCTGGCAAGTGGTCAATGCAACTAAAAATGAGAACAAAGTTTGAAAAAATATAGTTCTACATAAAGATCAAAATGAAAAAGTGTATGACCCTCAGCTGTTGGCAAATATGTTCAATGATTTTTTAAAAAATGCTCCAGATGATATAATACAAAAAATTAATACCTCAGATAGTGCACCTGATTTCAAATTTAATGTCAAAAATTATTTTAAACTTTACCGTTATACAGATAATGAGCTCAGTAACTTACTTTTGAAAAAATTAAAAAATTCCAAATCTTGCGGTTTTGATGACATTCCCAATTTTCTGGTAAAAGATGTACTACATCTTATAATAAAACCAATAACACACCTCATAAAATATTTCATTTTGCTGCGGAGAGTTCCTAGGTAGGCTGAAACTAGGCAAAGTTATACCAATTCTAAAAAAGGGGAACGAGCTTGATATTACAAACTCCAGGGCAATCACTGTGCCGTCTGTACTTTCTAAAGTGTCTGAATATGCCTTTTTGGATAGACTTCTTCTACATCTTAAGAACAACAATATTTTGTCTCAAAACCAGCATGGTTTCACAGATGGTAAGACCACAATGTCAGCCATACATTCCTTTTATGAGAAGCTTATAGAATACATCGACGCGGGCGAGTGCCCTACTGGGGTATTTTGTGATCTCCGTAGGGCATTCGACTGCGTTGATCATAACAAATTCTTGGAGATTGTTGTTAAATATGGTTTTGTCGGTCAATCTGTTAAATGGGCCAGATCGTTCTTAGTCCAAAGAAAACAATATGTTTCAGTACAATATCTTGATGCAGGGAACAATATGAAAAACTTTGTGTCAAGTACGTTAGACATCTCGATTGGAGTCCCCCAGGGCTCTATTCTTGGACCAATCTTTTTCCTCTTATACATTAATCAGTTTGATAATGTTCATCCAGATACCCATTTTACAGCATATGCTGATGACGTTTCTGCCATAATATCAAGTAATTCAGATATAATTTTGGAAAATAAATGTAACAACTTAATTAGGAATATCAATACATGGTTTAACCAGTACTCACTTTACTTGAATCCCTCCAAAACAATGCTAATTCGTTTGCAAATTCATTTCAAAGACTAAAGGACAATTTTATTAGGTGTCGCTTGTGTATAGAAAATAATGGTGTCCATGTCGAACATGTTCTTTAAAAGTTAGTTAAATTAAATTATCTTCCACATTTGTCGATAAGTCGCCATAAAGAGCGGCTAAACACAATAGGTTCTGTACTGACACTCCACTTATTCGTCACTATTCCTTTTAAGCCAATTATTTTTGTAATCATGTGCTGAAAAAAGGCCATGTATTATTATTATTATTATTATTACATATAAGGGTTCATTCGATAGGCCCTCTATCAGCTGACTTCCGTTGATCCACTACTAGATTTACACCCTGTATATAATTTTTTTTAAGAAAAGGGATGAAAAAAGTTGAAGGCCTACTCTTTACACGAATAATGATGTAAGTATTTATACGTAATATGAATTTATTTTATGACAGATTGTATGCTGGATACGATTGCACTATTTATCAAATCATGGAAAATTTATTAAATATCGCATTCATTAAAACCAGGTAAGCAGGCGTCTCGTCATCATTATATACAAAGTACAGATCGCCGCGATAGACGGCTGGTTTTTAGAAAGCGTCAGCTTAAAGTCCTAATAGCCAGCAGAGTGCCATACGGTGAAAGCGATAATCGTTGGATGCATAACACGAAACTCTCCACGAAAACATTTGGTTTCAGTTTTGAATTTGTTTATAGTCAAGAAAGAAATTTGTGCAAGGCGAATGCACATGAAGTTTTGAAAGATGACGTCCTCAGACTTGAAACTGATTAAGGAATGGTTGTTAAAGCAGGCCCATCTTCCTCACAATATCGGTAAGATATATGCAGATATTTAATAGCGGTGCTGTACGAATGTTGTCTTGTTTTTTTTTAAATATGATGTAGAGTCATAGATGGGTATTTTGTAGGAGATTTAAGAATGCTACAATGTTGATAATGCGATAAATCAAAAATATTTTGAGTTAAAACATGGTCGCCCGCCCATATAGCACAATCCAAAGAGGCGCATTGGTGGTCCGAATGTAATTTTCGCGGATGTCTTCAAAACAAAACAAAAAAACATAGGCCACTCGTAGCTTAGAAACGGGTAGGTACTCTATTAGGTATATTTTACTTCTCAAACGGAAGCTAGGGGGACTTGCCCGCTTAATGGGCCTCATGAAATTAAATTAACTAATATTTTAATATAGCACCCCAAATTGCTTAGCTTCCCAAGTCGTATTGTTCGCAAAAAATGTTTGGTGATTTGGACTAAGACTCATACTATATATTTGATAAATCGGATACGTACACTTTTAACCCCACGTCTTTTCTACCTGATTTCGTATCCAAAAACTTCCCTTACAAAGTGCACTTAGATTAATCCGGTTCTAGCAACGAAAGGCCCTGGGCCCTGTACAATTTTATAGCATTTTCAGATTTTCGATTAGATAATGTTCTTAATCTTCGCACATCTGTCAACTGGTCAGCTACACAAATTCAGAGTCCGACGTTAACTTGACGCCACATGACTCACCGGTGATCCCACGCGACCTATTTATTTACCCAAAATTCAACCTCATGACACTTTAAGATGTTTTAACCATCATATTCGCTTTCGGTGCCTCAGATTACTTAAGGCGAGAATACACATGCTTGTTACACGCACAGAAGCATGCCAGTTACTGGATTGTGCGTGCTACTTGCATGTGTGACTTTCTTTGCCAGCAAGAAAGCACGCTAGAAGATAGCACGCCAGTCGATCGCAAGACGATTGATTTTTGTGTGCCAGTAGCAGGATTTCGTCGAGGGAATGGAGGGGAGGAACCATGCGAGTCATGTTCAAAGGTGTGTGAACGACATCGTTACCAGAAACTCGCGTGTGAAAAACGGATTCTTGAACTATAGAACTATTTGTTTAGTTCCGGGCAAAATGGCTCGTTGGGGATACGAAAAGACTTTATTGTTTGTTATGCAGTATAGGGAGTATCCGTGTTTATGGAATACATGATCTCCATTGTATAAAAATAAAATCGCTAGAGACAATGCTTACAAGTCTTTATTGAAGCAAATAACTGAAAACAATTTAACATTGAAATTTATGAAAAATAAGATAAAAAACCTAAGAACAACCTACCACCAAGAGTTAAAGAAGATAAAGGAAAGTTTTCACAGACTGGCATATCCAAAACTAGCATGTGTATTTTGGGATGTCGTAGGACAAGTAGTTAGCATACAAGTTACTGGCCACTGGCATGCTATTTTACTGGCATGTGTATTCTCGCCTTTATGTATACAAAGTTTCATTCGCGTGTAACAACGGAAGGTGAACATGAAACTTTCACCCTGTAAGCTACTACAATATATTTATGTGTCCGATGGAGCAGTTTTTGAAATGTCCTTGTCAACCATCATTCGTATCCAACCCACGGAGACAGAAACTGGAAAATATGCCTGGGGCAAACGTGATCCGTAATACTGGGCGTTCCAATTTAATATCTCCTAAATATTTTGAAAACTGTGCATCCTATTAAAAAAAATCAAACAACAGCTGCAGGGTTTCGGGCGGCGACCTTGACCATGACCTCCACTACGCCTGTCATTTCAAGGTTAAACGACTATTTTCAAATGTAATCCCTCCTGTTTGTACCGGAATTGGAAAGAAGAGAAAATTCTACGAATATGACCTTTACCTTAATCATTCAAGGCCATTTCACGCTTAAATAGTAATTGAAAACAGTTTTTTGTAGCAAAAACGTTCGACAGCAGAGTTGTGGAGGTGATCCTAGGTGACCTTGACCTTGATCAGGAACAGGAAAAAGCAGGGAATGTTATGTCGGAATGTAAAGTGAAGGACATGTCAATCTAAGGCCGGTATCGTCAGTCGTCCCTACAATTGTAGGGTGCCTTTATGGCCTCCTTGATTGTCATAGTTTTCTATTTTTCCATGTCAGTGCTCTATTTTGAGGTTATGTCACAAACATCTATTTGCAACAAATTGTGATTGCTTTTGAGTTATATCATGTTTTATCAGCCTGTAAATGTCCTACAATTTAAAAGGAAAACATATCTTCACAATAGGAGAGCGCTGACGCTGACACGGGACAAGTGTAATCTAGAAATTTTTGAAGGAGAGAAAGAAGTATGACAATCAAGGAGGCCATAAACGCGCCCTACAATTGTAGGGACGACTGACGATACGGGCCTTAGATGTCATTTGATTCTTATGCCGAAATTGTACATGTACATGACTTTCAAGATGATGGTCCAAATCAACTTTGAGTGACCCCACAAGCTCACAAATGTGATGTTGAACATATTTGGAAAAAAAAAATTGTTTTGATTTCATCTTGTAATGGCCCTGAAAGTCATGGTGATAGACAAAGGTCAGATCATACTCAGACGTAAAAGTTCCTGCTTTTTCCAATTCCGGTGTAAGGCAAGGGTCCATTTGAAAATATTCGTTTGACCGTGAAAGTCGTGGTCAAGGTCGGAATCATTTTGTTCCTCGATACCCTACAACTTTTGTTTGATTTTTTTTTCTGGGAAGCATAGCTTTCGAAATATTTGTGAGATTATAATGGCACACCCTACACAATTAAATTCTTGCGTCTGTGATTTCAACAACGATTCATCTTTTGTTGAACATATACTTAGATTCCAAATCCGGTATCAGTTTGACAATGGAATGAATGGGGCCCAAGATAGCTGATTTTTGAGTTGTACGTTTAAAACAATTATTCCATTTTTCTAAACAGATGACAACCTGCTGAAAAGATTTCTGCAATGCAGCAAAAACAGCATAGAAAAATCAAAGAACCTGATAGAGCTGTTCTATACAGTACGCTCACAAGCACCAGAGATATTCTCAAACAGGGATCCTAAGCAGCCCGAACTTCAAATAATATTTGAGAATATGTAAGTACCTATACTCGGGATCAATAATTGCGCCACGTCTTGCCCATATTAGGCAAAATCGTTAAACTAGCCTCATCAACCTGAGTTATCAGTCCATTAATAACCGAAACACACATTAATTTCACAATAATTCTTGCTTAATTTAGTATTCTGAGTAAAGAGAATTAGTCATTAAGCATTATGTTTTCAGCTACTTAAATCTACAAGCGTACTGCGCGGTTGCCACTTGTTCTAATTTTCCTCAAAATATGGAAGACGTGGCGCAATTATTATTGCTTCTGATTATACAAGGATTGAAAGTACTTTATGCAATGATAGACGAAAACTGATATTACGAGCCACTTCCCACTTCAGTTAGCCCAACTATTGAAATCTTAGTTTTTTTCTTATCCAACACAAATAATAAAAATGTAGCAGGCTGTTGTAGGTTTAAAATATTAACAATGAATATTTTGATAATATACTCGTATATAGAAGGAAACACCAACTTTATCACTCCCTAATCAAATTTGCAGCATAAAAATAACACATGTAGCAATTACAGCATATCAACCTATTTTTATTTCAATGCAACATAAGTCTATAATGCATAGGTGGTTGTGAAAAATAAAAGCCATGACAATTGTTTTTATTAATCACAGCTGCCAGAATACGTTTAAAATAGTTTTGGGTAGCTAAGGATTTCAAAATGGGTACAGGAAAGGTTATTAGTGAGAAAATTCGGTTACTGATAATTAAATGTTTTAATTTTGGGAAATCAAACTCAGAAATTGCAACTTTGTTAGATTTATCGCGGTACAGTGTGAGAAATATTGTTAGAAGTCATAAAGTAACTGGTTCAGTTAATATTAAGCCACGATATGTGGAAAAAAGTAATATCACAAATGCCGACCGAAGAGTATTAAGAAGAATAATCGTGAAAAACAGGCGTGCCAATTATTTACAATTAAGTGCTCTGTTGAGTGATGCTGTTGGAAGGAGAATTTCGAGGTCCACAACTCATGAAGAGGCCCACAAACTGGGATTTAGCACTTGCAAGGTAAGTTTTCTTATAAAAAAAAGTGAAGTAAAAACCCTAAAGTTGCACAACTTGTTTATAGGTCAAAGAAAAGCCACTATTAACTCCACTGCAAAAGAAAAATCGGCTTAGATGGGCTAAAGAACATAGACAATGGACACCTCAACAATGGTGTGCAATACAATGGAATGATGAGGCCCGATTCGAAGTTTGTGTTGGTGACAGTCGCAGTAGAGTTATTCGCAAAAAAATGAAGCATTCCATGTTGACTGTCTGAAGAGAAAATTGAAATTTCCGGCGTCCATTATGTTCTAGGGCAGTATGTCATCAAAAGGAGTATGAAAACTTCATTTTATTGATGGAAATGTGGATACAAACAAATATTTGGCAATTTTAGAAGAATCGCTTTTACCAGTGATGGGAGAATGTTTGACATCCGGCCAAGATTTTGTGTTTCAGCAAGATGGTGCGGCGTGCCATAGCAGTCCAGATCTGTCACCTATTGAAACTTTGTGGCACGAGATGAAAAAGGTTCTACGACAACATCCTGCTCGTACAATCACCGAACTGAGACAAAAGCTTCAAGAAATATGGGATTGTTTTACACCAAATTTTTGCCAAAACTTGGTTAACACTATGCCCCAAAGAATTTCAGCCGTAATTAAAAATAAAGGTGATGTTACCCAATGGTAATCTTTCAATTGTTGCTTTGTTAACTTCGCGCATTTATTCGAACATTGTTCAGATGCTCTATTAGTCTAAATCTAAGTGATTTCAAATATGTATTTTTTACGACTGGAGTGTATATAAAATGTTTTTGAGAAAATAAATTGTTTTAGAAGTAAATAGTTTCGTCATGTTTATTTTATAAAGGCATATTTTGGTACAAATCTTGAAGTGGGCCAACTGAAGTGGAAAGGGGCTCGTAGTGTTTAATGTTCAATTTTATGGGAAGCTGACTGGTAAACTGTTCTTTTCAGCGATTTTCTGCCACTGCCTACGTTGACTGAGGACAACTGCAAGGTTTTCTTATACCGGATTTTGACTAGTGACGTGGATAAGTACGACTTTGTGAATGGGGTAAAAGCTTTCTTTATTTTTGCTGATGTACGAATGGTCTCCGAGAATGAAATTCCGGAAGGTGAAATACCAATATTCGATATGAAAAATTTCACACTGAGGCATCTTACAAAAATCGTACTCCCTGTTCTTAAAAAGTACATGATCTATACACAGGTAATTATGAAGAGATATAAGTAAGAGTTATGATAGTACGGCGTTTTGCTTTACCCTTACATTCTCTGTGAGATTACTGGTTGTGGACTATGACAAATGGATCCTTTTTCATTCAAAATCGGTAATCTCCGCCCCAAAAGATCGTACCGAGATTTTATAAACAGACTATTGAAGCTGAATAAACGAGTTATACGATCCATAGTGATACAATAATATATAAAATGATCAATAAAAAGCTCGTGGACTAGAAAGAAGTAAAAAATTTTGCAAAACATTTTTCTTGTGCCAGCTGTTAGAAATGCTTCTAAAATTTGTCAGCTAACCTGAAAACTAGAATCTTATAGCTCAAAATGTTTTTTTTAAAGTCTCAATACGATCATTTTTCACCGAAATACAGCATGCCAAAGATCACCAGAAAATTTGTATTTTTCTATTGCTCCCTTATTTTTTGGGTAGTCGGTTTGTACTATAGACTGAAATTTATAAACGTGAGTCAAATGGAAAAATTATTTTTCTCCAATCTTATCCATTAGGATTACATGACCAACTCTAAGGGGTTCCATATCCAATCTATAGTAAAACTACCACAACGTTAGAAAGTTGATTCAAATACTATATACATCATTCATTGCAGGAGGCTCATCCAATCAGACTACGTGCTATCCACCTATTAAACACTCCCCCCTTCCTAGACAAATGTATGGCTTTTGTGAGGCCATTTTTGAAAGCAGAAGTAGCAGAAATGCTACACTGTCATTTGCCAGATTCTGAAACCCTGTATCAGTATGTGCCTCGGAAGTGTCTCCCTGTGGAATATGGAGGCGAATCTGGACTTACGTGTGAGGATATTAAGAAGGAATGGATGGATAAGGTAAATTCAAATGAAAAACATGCCACTATAATGTAAAAATTAGATAAGCAGAAGTTTGTTTTTATTTTCGAATATCATCGCCATCGTGGAAATTTGCAATTAGTTGCTGTCGACCTGCGATTTTTTATATTTGTTTGAAATGTTTCTTCAATTTGTCATAGCATTTAAAAACTTCCGTATTTCTGACCGACAGACTGTCAAAAACAGTCACCCATAAAACTGGTGTAAGGTAATTTTATGAATGGAATATCCAAGCAAAAATTATATAAGAGACCCATATTTTTGGTTATATAAGTTTCAATTTATTTATGATTTAATGTGTTGTAGGTTATGAAATATAGGGACTATCTCATAGATGAGTCGAGATGGGCTGTGGATGAAAACAAAAGAACAGGAGACAAAAGACAAACAGGCATGGAAGGATCTTTTAGAACGCTTAGTATTGATTGAAAAAATGATCACTTTCACGTTGTTTGTTATTATATGTATACGAAAAATAATTACATAGCAAATGGTGAAAGCTGCAATGACAGTTTTCTATTCCGGGGTTCCTAATTACATGATAATATTTAAGGATGCGATTTTTGTGTCCATTTTAAGGCTTCAAATGAAATTTTCTGCTTATATTGGAGCACAAAAATCGCCCCCTCAAATATTGAGATTCGATTAGGAAACACCCTGTATAGAGCTATGTTTCTAGACGATTTATAAAGGAGATTCTGCAAAACTATATCAGTGTTTTATATTATAAAAAATTAAAATGAATTTACATAATTTTATAAATAGCAGTTTTAATAAGTGGAATTACGTACCTTGGCAATTTCCGATACGAATACCAAAACTAAAAACTCGACCAGCATCAAAACTCACTGGTAAAGTTGCGCGACCTCCTGCTCGGACTAGAGCATCTTCGTTGGGCGCCACAAAAGAAAAGACACAACCAGATACAATTAAAACACAATTTGTATTTTCCTCATGAAGCTCACATTAAAAAATCTGAGACAAACGTACATACACATTATCCGATACACTTTTGGTTTCCATAGTACGTAACTTAGATCAAAACACTATTGGAACGTAACATAATAATGACGTAGAGATGTCTAAACGAGACAGCAACGCACGAGCGAACCTGCAACGCCGTAGTTAAAAAAATAAAATTACAAAAACTATAAATAAAATAACAAATAAAAATAAAAATCTATTTGAATAGTCGGCCAAATGTGATCCGGTCGTCAACACGCGTGATACACTCAAAACGCAACGCAGTACTGAAATTAACTGTAATATTAGCGAGGGTAACTATTTAGTAAAAAGTAACTGTTCAAAAGTTTACAAGCGTCTTTTATTCAGGTTTCAATAAAAAGTTGAAATTTCGGTAAATGTTGCTAGGCTGCGGGACGCAAAGCACCAAAAGAAGTACAAGAGGCGCCCGCAGATGTTTTTCTAAGTCGACTATAAGTCGACGTTATGCCTGAAGCTGCAAATACAAGATTCAAACCAGCTATCTTTAGTCCGGCATATTTTATTTTAGCAGCGCCATCTTTACGATGTGTCCCCCGCCAATAGTCACACACTTAATACTACACATGAGCGCGACTCCCTAAAACTACCCGAATTTTTGGACAAATTGACACACGTCGCTAGAAGCTGTCATGCGCAATTGTGGTGCGTGGCTGACTGACGCTGTGTAATAGCGGAATATGTTATAGGCTGTGTAGTATTAAATATATTGGAATATAGTTACACTGAATAACGGCAGCTTCTTAAACTTAAATACCTTATTACGCATTTTTGTAGATGAAATATGCTATAAAGAAAAAACTATTAAATTTTTAAAATCATTTTCTGTCAGCTTATTATATATTATATTAATATTGATCTATTATTTTTCACCTGCTAATTTCTCTTCGTGTTGACGATCAGTTCACACATAACAGAATAATTATTGTTCACGAATGTGAACGTTACAGCCTACCCTTTCAAGTAATGTAATGCAAAGCCTGTATGTTAAGAAGCTATTTTTTGTACCATAAATTCACCACAAAACTAAGCAAACTCTTCTTGGATTTTTATACCAATCATCTCTTTGTTTTTAATTCTATTGTAGTGAATATATTATTCCCACATACAGGATGATCCTTGAAGGTTTTCTAGGGTAAGAGTTGTTGTAAGCCGGGGTTTCTGATAAAAAAACATCGTCTTAGTTAGGATTTCCCCTGATTCAAAAAAAAACTTTGCCTACTTCTGTATATAATTATGATCACAAAATTCCATGCCAATGTTGAAACTTATCCGCAACTGAATTGAGTTTAAACTAATGCTGGTACGAACCTGTATGTTATCAATCGCCGAAGATGAAAAATAGACGTGTAACTTTCACTTAAAATAATCATTTATGCAAAATGTCCATGCCGGATATAATATACTATTTCGTGGAGATATCACTTCAACACTGACGTATCTATCATCACACGACAAAACTGTGTCAAAATACGTCGCCAATTTGTGCCAAGGTATCTAAATTTTCTTATCTATCTAGGAATATTAATAATCTTAAAAATGCTGAACTACATTCACTTTAGATTCTTTAATCTTCAAGACATGCTTAATGGGATAGAACCAATTTCAGGCATTATCGAGATCCTTTATATTAGGAATTCAGTTTATTAAAAAAGTAGACTCTAAGATACAACGGATGAATTTCGGCGAAGATAATAGTAAGAAAGTACATATTAGTTTACTAATTTCATATAAAATTCTCATCCAATGATGCAAAGTACGGCAAGTACCGAGTCGATCTACTTGACGCATTTAATTTACACCATATCCTCAGTTCAACTATGTAGTGCTAGTACCTATGAAACAACTATGTTCTCTAACTTTGACACCGTTGACGACTTTGACAGTTTCATTATGTGGTACATACTCCGACCAGTCATACATTCATTACACAATAATAATAGTAATAATAAGGGTATATAAGTGGGGAAAGGAGCCCTTTGCGGGGTGTGTATTAGGGTAAGAAGGTAGGTTTGGCGTGGGGGGGCCTTAATTGCACCTCTAGCAGCATCCGGAACCTTGCGAACCCGAGCTACCGCCGGCTCCTGGCAAAGATGGGTTCGTCGGTGAATGCTGGGGGCCTATCTTTATACCGTTCGCCTGGAAATAACGTAAGATATGAGACATTCTATCCAATCAAATAACTGATTAACGTATTACACGAAGAGATAGAATATCCAATTGAAACACGTGCTTGTGCGACAATGCTACTACACAACTATGAGGTCTGTAAATTAAGTGACTAGACTGACAACGTAGCGTTCGATCTGGCAACACTGGAGGCGCCGGGCTTGGAGCGGGGATAGGGGAACATATGATCCGCCATCAGTACAAGTTTGAACTCGCTCGAGTCATTGTGTCAAGATCAAGTTAATATTTTGGAATGGAGCCCAATTTTTATACCGCAATTGAAAAGACGAGAAAATTTCACGTATAAAAATGACCTTGACAATGACTTTCAAGGTCAACTCAAGATACTCAAAGCAATGTGCTGTAGCAAAAATATTCGATAACAGTTTTGAGGTTTATTTGAGTCACTACAGGTGACCTTGGCAGTTAAAATTTTATTTTTATACTAGAAGTAAAAAAAAAGCACGAAATATTTCGTCCGAATGTGACCTTGACCTCAAAATCAAAGTCACAGCAAGCTTAAACGTTACTTGTAAAGCAACCCACGGATTTGTATACCAAAATTGCAGAGGGCAGGAAATTTTCTATCTAAATACTTAAAATTTTGACTTGACCTTGAAATGGCCATGAAGGTTGTGTTCAAGGTCATATTGCGGACTCTTTTTTCAATTCCGGTCTAAAAATGAATATTCAATTGACCCTGAAATGACCTTAAATATGGTGGACAAGGTCACGGTCACCACTATTTTTTCCCTCACGAGAATATCAACTTTTGATTGAAACTTCTTTCTAGGAGGCGTAAATTTTCGAAATATTTACGTAGATAGATTAAAATGGCTCCCTGTAACCGTCTTCTTTAGGTGTCAGCGTTCCCGCAGGTTGTTGAATTTCTTTTTCCGCTGTTGAGAATTTATGAGAATGCGAAATTTCAGGAATAATTGTGTTAGAGGTTAAGGGGCGATCTTTCCTTGGAATGTTAATGTATATGTTTAAGAATATTTAACTTATATTAATCTCATGATTTTTCAACAAGATAAAAGATTCTCTTGGTTCAAAAATAACTTTTTACCTCGTTGTTTATATCGAATACGCCTTCCTGAATCTTCTCATAGATCTCTTTGGCTGTGTTGATGAAGGCTTCTTCCACATTGGCTGCCGTTTTGGCAGATGTTTCCATGAACACCAGGCCATGCTCCCGCGCAAATGCCTCTCCCTCTTCTTTTTTCACCTCACGACGGCTCTCTAGATCACTGAAACAATAGAACATATTGATTTATTTATTTATGACTATTTCCCTCGTCTTAATTTCTGCCAATCACAAACGCGCAATTTTCAATTACAAATGGTTACTAGATGGAAAAATTGTATGACAGCACCCGTGGTAAAACTTGACAGCTGTTGTCACCAAAAATTGCAATACCTTTGATAACAAGTAATTCTGGTCTCATAGGACAGGAAAAAATAATCTGCTACTCATGAAATAGTCCTGTCAAATACCATTTGGGCATCTAATTTTTTCCTGTGAAAAAAAAAACGAAAAAATACAATGCAAAGTAGTATTTTTTTTTGAAAAAAATTAAAATTAATTGAAAGAAAATTGGGCAAAAATACCTTTTGTTGCCAATGAGCATGATGACCATATTAGAGTTGGAATGCTGCCTGGCATCATCCAGCCAAGTGGTGAGATGATTGAATGTCTCCCTGCGCGTGATGTCGTAGACGAGCAACGCGCCCGCAGCGCCACGGTAGTACGAGCGCGTGATAGACCTGAACGCTTCTTGACCAGCTGTGTCCCAGATCTGCAATTTGATTTGTTTGCTGTCAATGGTGATCATGCGCGCTCCGAATTCCACGCCGATCGTCAGATCATGAACAGGTTGAAAACGCTTGTCCGTAAACTGGAGCAGCAGGCAGGATTTGCCCACACCTGGAACAACAGATACATTTTAGGTAGTCATCCCAGTGGTGTACCTGATAAATTGAAATAAGATAGCACAAACTGCCATCTATTATCAGAATCGACCACTGCGAAAGTGAAAACATAATGTTGACTGTTGGACTGTACCCCAGTTAATAGATGGCATGTTGTGCTGTCTTATTATCATCCTAAAATGAATTTGTAAAAGAAGCGAATGAAGGCATGTTATTATTATTTTGTTAATCATATATAGTACATATAAATTTGGGGAGTAGTATTGTAGTGTATGCAATAAGTGTTGCAATATGCTAAATTCCCTGAAATTTGACTATTTTGTATTTTATATTGGTTTTTCAGATTCAAGTTACTGTTCTGACTATTTCTATACTTTCCTATTGTCAAAATAAAATTAAATAAGTAAATATTGGAATAAGGTGATCACCAAAATACAAAACATGCCAAATTATTATCTAACTCTATGAATTTCTTAACCTTCAGATACCATTTTAGGACATATGTGTTGTTGATATCTTATAGCTTAATGACATAATTCTTGTAAAGTTAACAATTACAAACCTCTATTCTAAATTTTACTAATTTTTCATGTTCCATTACTTGTTGACTGGACATTAGCATTAAAATAGATTTATCCTTATCCTACTTATGCTGCCATAAAGATTCATTGTATTCAGACTTTCATTGATATATGTACTTGTTCATTATATTTCACAACACATTTAATAGTATATGCTTTCTAATTTTCAACACACAATACATTTTATTATATGGTTTGGTCATACCAAGTGTTTCTCTGCAATACAGCATAACTAGATTTTCAATATGATGCTCCATCTCTTCTTAGCAATTAACTTTCTTATAGAGACAATACTGGATTTTTGCATAGGTGGTAGAGCTTTTAATTCTGATTCAAAAATGTCTATGTTATAGAATGACATTGTCAAATCTTAGATACTATAAAAAAAACAACAAAACTTCCTGAGTAGGTCTTGAAATTAAAAGATTAGTTTTCCCTCAGTATAGATGATATGTTAATGATATTATATTGTACATATGAAATGCAATGACATTATAAAACTTCAAATGTCTAAAAAGTAATCCTCCTATAGTTCAATCAAAATAAAGAACAATCTCATTCTGAAACCTTTTTCATATTATTTAACGGTCATATTGGAAACATTAAACATATTATTTTATATAACTGATGAATATTTTTAAGTAAAAACATTGATGATGTTGCAGCTTCCTAAACACATTTCATATCTTCCATATCTAAGCTAATGCACACATCTTGCATTCAAAGACTAATGCTGAGGTGTCCCGTAGAGTGGTTCCATCATGATAACACTTTTTATAGACAATAATTGGACAAATTACCTGAATTTTCTTTAAACATGCTTCTCAAAAACTGAAGCATTGATGATTTAATTGGATAAACATGTGATAAGCTGTCATTTTCAAAGGCAACTATGGAAACATTTTTTTTAAATATATGTGCTTTGACAATGTCAATGTATGATGTATGATAATGTACAGTTTTCAGAAATCAGGATTAAAAACTCTATTCAGCTGTGCAAAAATCATATAAGAAATAAATAAAGTTCATGATTGAGGAGAAGAGACTTCACATTGAAATTCTAATTATGCGATCTTGTAGACAAGAAAAAGTGGCAATGTTGATGTAGTTTTTATTTTGAAATTCCATCTCAAAGTAAAGCCAGGAAAAAAGGATTTTGTGAACATTTCTTTGTTTTCTTTCATCTATCTCTGAAAATACTTGGAATTGAAACACTTAGAAAGCATCATTTCAACATCATAATTGTTACCATTTCCAAGATTCTAATGGTAAGACTCAAATTTGAGAAACCTGGCATAAACAACACATAAAAAATAATGATTAAATTTATTTTCTCAAAAGATTGGCAAACATTTTGGTCGATGTAGGATGTGTTATTCTCTTTCACATATAGAAATAATTAGCTAATTTTGTGCACTATGAATACGAGACTTCACAGCACCAAAACAACAGTAGTGAGTATAAATCACATGATAACTTTGTGCAACAATTGCAAAAATACTTGTAATAATGGCAGAGTGGTACCAAAGGCATCTACATCATTAACATATACGTGCGTTTATGTTGAAGTTTGAGGAAACCTGAAAATAATGATATCTACTACTTTTCTACTTCAATTGAAACACTCAGTATTTGTTAAAAAAGCTTACTCCCTACCAATGTGACTAGGTACATCTTCACGTTTTATTCCTTTGCATTGTAAGCTAGCTTACTACTCTGGATCAGCAGATCCTTTGTGATTGTGAGTACCAAGTAGGTACCCTCTTCGTATTGTTTACTATGAAACTTCTACATGACTCACAGCACTTCAGAAGTCGCTTACCTGTGTCTCCAATTATTATATATTTGAACAAGTACGCGTAAGACATTTTAAAATCACAATTACACTATTTACGTTTCTAGTTTTCGATTATTACAAAAAATCCTAATTGAAACAGCTGTCTAATCAGCGGATGACGTAATCTGTCAAAAGAGTCAATCAACCAAGCAAATCGTCATGTAATCGTCATCAGCATCACATAAAGCTGGACTGCTAGGAAGTTATCGAGTTAAAAGTATTCCTATCGCCATTTTCGTTCATAGTGCTTCAAATGTATACTGAATCTTCAAACTTCAAATTGAGTCGGCACTTTCATCTCTACAACTGCCACAATAAGACATATGTCACTTGTCAGAATGTAAATGTGAAATGTGGTTCCTGTGTACTGTGTCTTGTGAAAAAAAGTGGTGATTAAGGTGATTGATGATGCTTTCTTATTTCTAGAAACAAATTTGTGGAAATTTTATTTTTGTAACTGACTCCTCATCGATAAATAGGATGGATGCAAAGAACGCAGCTAACGATGAAGGTAGGGAATATACATAGCATATTGAAAACACAGCTTGAACTAAATTTCCTTGCAGAATCTGTGTCCCACAAGCAGACATCCAAGCAAAGCAATATTTTACCATTATGGGGCAACGAAAGAAGCATGAACTTGAACCCCCTTATTCTCACAAACATTCAGAGCTCGCATTACTTCAAAGGTAGGTAGGTTCATGAAAACACATGATAAATGGCTGTTTCTTCTATCAATTGTTTCTGATAGGTAATATGTATTTTGAAATATGAGCAACTTGCGACCTTGTGTAGGTTTAAGTAAAGAAGGAGTGAGTATATAACAAACAAATCTTCCAGTAATGTAATCTGAAGATATATCACTACACCAAGTATCTGGTGCTCGGTACTCAAAACTGAGTGTATACTCAGTACTAGGCTTTTTGAAAAAGTATTACTCTGTGCATGCTCACTTAATATGTATTGTTTTTAACCTTTTTGAATTCCTGTATATTTTTGAAAGACAATCATAAACAATTTACTTCTACAGTGAACTTGTACGAGTTAAAAACCTACCATGAAGTGGTAGATGAAATATACTACAAGGTAACTCATATGGAGCCTTGGGAAAAAGGCTCTCGTCGAACCTCAGGACAGACAGGCATGTGTGGTGGGGTAAGAGGAGTTGGTGCGGGGGGCATAGTCTCAACAGCCTATTGCCTCCTATACAAACTATTCACACTTAAATTGACTCGCAAACAGCTGAATGGACTCATAAATCACACTGATTCACCATACATCCGGGCGCTGGGATTTATGTATATCAGGTATACATTTCCACCTCCTCAGCTGTTGGATTGGTATGAAGACTATCTAGAGGACGAAGAGGTGCGTACTGGCAACAGGTAGAGTGGTCTACAATTCTTCTTACAGCTTAAAATTCCAAAGGTCACAGACTAGGCATATTTGTACAGAAAATTAAAGAATCTTTCACTTATAAAAAGTTATCCTAAATTGTAATAATATGGATGTTAAAATATTGTTTTTCCTGCATTTTTACATTTTTTTTGAGATAGAATAGAATGATATTGATGATGAGATTCTATGTGTACCACATACTTCCTTGACTTGACTTCCTTGTTTTCTACAATGTTAGATTTAGTCAGGCTTTAAATTGTTTTTGCAAGTATGCCGTTATTATAGTCTGTGGTTTGAAAAATAATATAAATTTGTATGTGTAAAATGTTGAGTGTTACAGGAACTAGATGTGAAAGCAGGTGGTGGTCAAGTGATGAAAATTGGGCAGATGCTGAGACAGTGGCTGGTCAAGTTAGAGTGGTTTTCCACTCTTTTTCCTAGGATACCTGTGCCTATCCAGCAGAAGATCCAAAAGCACTTGGAGGTATGCTTAGATTTATCTGATAATCTTTTTATTTTGCACTTTAATTGGCCTGTCCATAAAACATGTTTTGTAGACAACTATTTTTATTTACACACTCCTGCTTCTTCAATGTTGAAAAATTGTCCCATTAGCATCATCTACTTCTAGCTTACACATTGCTCTTTGTTTTCAGGGTCGTTTTCCACAGAGTGCGGTGCAAGCAGCAACCGCGCCTTCAGGCGGCGGGGCCGACAGAAGATGGGGCGGCGCTGCAGGTGGCGGAGGCGGGGGAGCAGGTAGACCGCCCCCCAGGGAGGATATTCGAAAAAATTTCCTGAGGGACGACGATCGACGGATTGACAGGGGCATGCCACAGCACGATTTCAGGAGCAGGGATGATAGGACTAAAGATAGTGGACGAGACAGAGAGAGAGACAGTAGAGACAGGTAGGTGCTTTGTTTCGTAGTACATATTTTTTTTATAAGCTCTATGTTGTGTGATCTAGTCTTTCAGGTTTCAAAAAGTCTTTCAACAAAGCAATAAGGGCTGTCCTGACATCCTGCAAACTATAAAGAAAATCGTTCAGATTGAATAATTTTTACAGCTATGACCATTTCTTTCATGGTTATTCGAGTTCTGCTGGTCATTTCGAGTTTTTGCTCACATTTTAGGGGTGTTGCCGCTCCGACTACATTATCTATGCTCGATGCTGATCAAGGGAGGGCAACAAAACATTCTAAGTACAATATTGGCGAAAATCGAAGAGATTTAAGTGTTAATTACTAATGCTTGCAAAAATCTTCAATTTTCTTCTGGCGAAGCAAGCCTACCCGTTTACGAGCGTCTATATCACGTATTTTTTTAAGGACAGATATTTGATACTGGTCGCTCTCGGCTTGTGTTTCAAACCAATGCAAGGGAATATCTAAGCAAGTGAACGCTTCTGAAGCACCAATTATGTTTTCATCTTCATTATCTGAACTTGCAGTTGATGAGGTGCTAGCTGTGGTGTCAGTTTTATTAGTCATCAGATTTAATATTTTCTGCAGAATTTGGTACCCATCATCATCATCATCAAAATCCATCCAATGTTCAACTTCTTCATCACATTCGTCACAATTAAGCTTTTTTAGCATATCTATCATTTCAGAAATATATTCCTGTTTTTCATTTAGATTATCACTTTCAGGATATTCCACTAAACAAAACTTTATTCCACGCTTTTTTCAAGTTCTGCTCTTTTACACTGTTCCATGCTGCTCCTATCATGTAGGACGCGTCTTTCAAATCAATCTTTTTATGATTTCTTATCAGGCTTTCTTCTCCCTCTTCTTCTTTTTCCAAAAGTAACTTACGTAACAATTCTTTTCTATAATACCGTCTAAAAGACTCAATAACGCCTTGATCCATGGGGTGTGATAATGAAGTCACATTAGGTGGAAGAAACATGACTTTTATAAAATCGTCTTTTTCATTTAAGATGTCACATGATGGATGAGTCGGGGCGTTATCTAGAAGTAATAATGTTTTCTCTTTTACCATTTTTTAATTGATGGGCTTAGCAGAGGGTATAAAAGTTTCTATAAACCATTCCATAAAAATTGTGCTATCCATCCAAGCACTTTTTTGCGAAGTGTAAACTATAGGCATCGCAGACATATTAACGTGTTTCAAACAACGTGGTTTCTTGCTTTTACCAATGACAAGAATGGGCAATCGGTGGCTGCCAGTAGCATTAGCACAAGCTAAAGCAGTGATACGATCCTAGCTTATTTTAAGTCCAGGTGCTGCTAATTCACGACGTGACGCAAGAGTTTTTCTTGGCAAAGCTTTCCAATTGAGCCCAGTTTCATCTGCATTGTAAACGTTTTCGAGGGCGTAATTTTCTTCCTTCAGTAACTTCCTTAGTTTGACTTTGAATGAATCTGCTGCTGATGAATCAGCCGACATCTTTTCTTCATGTATTTGCAGCTCACAAATGCCATGTCTCGCCTTAAATCTTTTCAACCAGCCTGTGCTTGCTTGAGAATTTGATGACTTTATCGTTGAAGTGCTTTTTAACACAGAATCGGACGAGAAACAGGTTCTCCCTGGGATCTTTTCTGAGTAAACCACTTATACGAGGGATGTCTTTTAAGTTTTGCATATGGAAATAAAACAACAGGGTAGGTAGTTTTAAATGACTTTATCGTTTTTCGAAGTATTCTCCGCGAAGATTAATACACATCTGCATGCGCTCGAACCAATTTTCGAAGCACTTATTCCACTCGTTTGCTGGCAGATCCAAAACGGCATTTTTGAATGCGTTAACTGCTTCTTCTGGTGACTGGAACCTTTGACCACGCAGTCTGTTTTTAATTTTCGGAAAAGTAAAGAAATCGTTAGGACTTAGATCGGGACTGTATGGAGGATGGTCCAATAATTCTACGTTTTCTTCCGTTAAATACTGCATTGTTTTTTGGGCTGTGGGCGAGCTTGCATTGTCTTGGTGGAGGATGATTCTTCTTTCGGGGTTGATTTTTCGAAGCTCGGTGATGACTTTTGGCAAACAAATGGTGGTATACCAATCAGCAGTAACAGTTCTTTGCTCATTAAGAGGAATTGTTGTAATATGATCCGCTTTTGACACAAATGTCGCGACCATCTTTTTCGAAACACTTCGAGAACGGATGACTTTTGTTGGCTTTTCTTCACCTTGGAACACCCAAACAGCCGACTCTTGTTTATTTTCTGGTTCATAACAGTAAATCCACGATTCATCACCACTAACAATGCTGTACACATTTTTTGAGTTTCCGGAATTGAAACGGTCAAGCTTTTTTGACACCATTTAACCCTGGCTGCTTTCTGCTCTTCAGTCAACAGAAACTAATTTTCTTACTCCTAATTCTTCATGTAAAATTTTTTGAATTGAGTTCTTTGAGATCTTCAAGGACGCCTCAATCTCGCGATATGTCACATGTCTATTTTCAATGACGAGTTTGCGCACAGCATCGACGTTTTCCTGGGTGACTGCCGTTTTTGGGTCACTCACCCTGGGATCGTCGCTAAGACTCACCCGTCCACGTTTGAATTCTCCATACCTACGGGAAATTGTCGACGGATGTGGCGCTTCATTGCCGAAAACAGACAGTAACTCAGCAAGGCATTCTTGTTGGAATAATTGTCTCTGAAAGTTGTAATAAATTATGGCGCGAAAATGTTCGCGTTTCCATTTCCAAAGTTCCATTTTTCTAATGACTTGGTGACATTTAAAAATTCACTGCACGTATTGTTGTGAAACTTTGAATTTAAGTTTACTAAAGAGTGAGGTTAAGATTAAGTACTGACATTCGATCTGCGCGGTCTACTATGTTTCTATATGCAAAACTTAAATGACATCCCTCGTATAATTTCCATTTACATATTGTTATACCTTGGCATTGTAGGATTCTAAGACATGTTGGAATAAAAGTCTAGTGCATTTTGAAATCATCACCAAAATCGTTGTGAAATCTATAAATACTTTGCCAATTGATTTCCTAGCACCTCCACTAGTGTATGCAATGGTACAATTGATTCAACTAGCACGGTGGTATTCTCTATCGTCGCAGGAACTCAGGACATGTTGAGGTAATCACGGACATCGCCGTAAAATCTAAGAAAAAAAAATCCCAAACTCGTTACTATAATTAAATCTCTATTACAGGAAATACCGAGGCCGTAGCCCAGTCAGAGAAAGGGATAGGAGCCCTTTACGGAGACATGGGAGCCCGCATCATTCCTCTCATCATAGCAGACACAGAGATGGCAGAGACGATTATAGCAGTCGGCATAAGAGGGACTATAGGCATTAATACTCATACCCAAAACGTCCAAACTCATTTATTTAGTACTTAACTTGAATAAGCATGCAATGCTCGGAAACTTTCCATAGATAGCCTAACATAGTGTGCAAGGCATGCATGTTGGATGACGTGTCACTGCCTTTCAGACTGTCGTGATTTTCTTTTTCATTTTTAAGAACTCTTTTTACAATTACCAGCAAGATTGAGGGGTGTTCTTTTCTTGGGCTGTTTGAGTCATGTTTTAGAATAAGCAATTTTATTTAAAAAGAAAGTGGAGTCTAGCGTATTGTAAGATATTTACTGCGATCCTATATGGCAACATAGCTGCGACTATATGAACGAATAGCATACTGTTCGGCGACTTCTTGCAAAATATGTTAATAAATGCCTGGTATCAACAAACTCGTCGATTTGACGGCAGCTAATGAATTCGAATAAATTAGAGCCTATGTTTACAGTGCATCGTTTCTCGCGAAAATTGCGTATTTTTAGTGCATCCTTTTGACTAATTTGACTGCCATTGCCTACCAAAGTGTTAATGTTGTCTCAACATAATAATGCTTACCGGTGGAAAGATATACCTTTATTAGTATTATGTCTTGAAACACAATTATCTGCGAACACTCGCACTTATAAAAAAATAACACTAAACAGAATTTAATGACAAATAAATCGTAGGCTTGCTCCTTTTACCTAGTCTGGATTGGTTGGCGCTGTTTGAGAATTACGTCTTCTAAACATCGTCGGATCTATAATCAATTCAAATCTCATTTACTCCGCTTCAGAACAAACATGAGCACTCGATCGCAGCTATTATCCGCTTAACGCTGCCTGCCCAGGCATTTACGGCTCGTTGGCCAATAGGACCGCTCAAATTTGTACATCGCACGCTGGCGTTTGATTTTGTGTTTTGGAATACTTACGGCCGTAAGTCAGTCGTTCCTGCAATTGTTGGATGCCTTTATGGCCTTTTCATAGTTTTCTACTGCTCCGCGTCAGCGCTCTATTTTGAGGTTATATCGCAAATATCTATTTGCATCAAGTTGTTCATGCTTTTGATTTATATCGTCTGTTTTATCAGCCGTAAATTTCCTGCAATTCAAAAAGAAAGCAGAACTTTACAATAGGAGAGTGCTGACATTGGCTTGGAACAGTAGAAATCTATAAATATCCCAGCCTTTCTGAAGGAGGGAAAATACTATGAAAATCAAGTAGGTCATAAAGTCGTCCTACAATTGTAGGAACGACTGTCCATACGGCCCTAAGGTTCCTAGTATGTCTATAGGAAGTTTCGAGTTTTGTTTGTTTACAAGTTTTATGTTTAGTTTCATCAATTTCATTACGTTCTCAATTCACCTACGATTTTTTTATAAACTAATTACGATTTCAGTTTTTATACAAAATGACGTACATACCATAGGGGGGATACAAATCTGTGGCGTTTTCTGTGTATGTAGCTCAAAAAAGTATGGTTGAAGATGTGTTGTCACACTGTAATATGTAAATAGTACATAGATCCATAGAATATGAAAATGTCTGTCAAATGAAGCATCTCAATTAAGAGAGCTTTTTGGTGAAACCAAAAAAATACTTTTATTTTTCTTACTGTACATACTTCCGTTGCATATGATTTTTTTTTTGATTGCTTACGTACGTATTATTAGCATTATTTTAAGCCGCATTGAAATTGTGAAAATAGGAAAGATTTTTGTATACAGGAATAAGAAGACACATTTTTATAAAACTGTGTTTTATTACATACACCTATGGCACATGCGTAAAATCAAAGACGATACATTTTTTGCAATGAAAAAAATGTTACGAGATGATTAAGTCCATATTGCCTCTTAATAACAGGAAATTTAAGGTTCATGAAAAATATAATATATAGTCAAAATCACGAATGATGACTATTACGTCATATCATAAATTGTACCGAAGTAATCAATGGACGTACGTCGATGATAGAATCACGACGTCAGGAACATAATGGCAACAAATTTATATTATGATTTTGCGAAGTTAGGTTATTTCACTGATTATTTTTATTTCATGGTTTTGAGTGATACCTTAATAATTTTAGCGGGGAGTTTTTGTTTTGAAAAAAAACAGTTATGAGTAGAATACCTTAAGACAGGAAGACCAAAGTATTATTCGAAAACAACCTAACCTGCTATAACATAACCTAACTATTCATCTTTCAAATGTGATCGATCATCGAAACATCGCCTATCTTTGTCGGATACTTACAAATTAGCAATACAGTTTGTTTAGACAGTAAAATTCTGTTTGTCTCTGTCTAACATATCTGAAACTTCATTAAAATTATTCCTACAAATCGCTGTCGTTAGTCTTTGCAACAGATTAAAATGATGACGTAATCGTCATCTTTCGTGATTTCGACTATATATGATAACCCAAACTTTGGCAACGCATATGAAATTGTCGCCTCACTCTAGGGACGTTTTCATCACACGAGTCTGCACCCCTAGATGTTAATCAAAATCTTGTTTACCAACATTTTACCTCAAGTCAAGCGCCATCGGGATGATAGAAAAGATCCAGTGGATCTGAACGTTTTGAAATAGTTGAAGTGCAGTTAGACGAATCAGTTCAGTTTTTCTGTGCATTTAGCTCAAGATGAACAGCTGTTTGCGAAGACCTTCAATATATCAAAGTGTACATTCAGCGTGGGCGGTAAATCCTCAAAATGCACGGTTCTCAGTATAGTAACACCGACGTCTTTGGCAGTTTCTGTGAACGATTTCTCCTCTTTACCTATCCATGGCCGTCGTTCATCTTTGATTTGGTATGGAGACACGTGGACGTGAACTCTGATTTCTGCAAAAACACACAAAAGTATTTGAAACACATTTTGTTAGTAACTACCAGTCAAAAATAATCCAAGAATAAAAAAATATTGGATCTAACCACTCCATATTTCTCTATGTTCTACTGACCTAATGAAGCTACAGATGTACAAATGAAAGTTTACTAACGTTCCTGCCTCGTCGGCGGTCTTTTTTTAAATGTAGTTCAAAATGACAATGAAACGACAAAATGGAGTATCTGAATTCAACAAACTGAATAGTATTAAATTTGAATTAAAAAATGTTTAAAGTGAAAAAAAAATCAATTTATGAATACCCAAAATGCATAGTGATGTAATTTTAATAGACAAGAATGTAAAATTACCAAAAATTGATTTAAAAAATCTGTAAAAGAATAGTTATATGAAATTGACATTGCTGAATAAATCTTCAACAATCAAATCTATTGCTGCAAACATACATACTTAGTATTGCCAATGTAGCCAGTAACGCTTTAGCCGTGATCCAAGTATTTTTGCCTCCATTATGTCCACCATCAAGCCAATACATGTCTTTTATCCTTGACATTGAATCTGGCTTCTCCAGTGCAGACATTGTAACCGAATAGTGATTTAATTCATGTAGAAATTGATTAAGAACCACACACCCTTTGCTAAAACCAATCAATCGCAGGTCAAGATTCTCAAAATTCACGGTTGTTCTTTCATATCCTGCAACTTCTTTATTATCTTTCAAACTAACTTCATTCTCCTAAAAGATATCAAAAATTATTCTTTTTTTACTTCCAACGCTTACTGGCGACAATCGCCTACGACTTGATGTAATTTTTACACAATGCCAAGGACGCAAAAGCGTTGTAGTTTTTGAAAATCGGTCCGGTAGTGGCAGAGAAAAAGTCCAAAAACAAAAAAATTAAAATCGTTCAACTTCGTTCTTTACCAGAAACGCCAAATATAATAACTGATGAAAAGACCGAAATCTCCCAAGAAGATGTGACACAAGGAATAAATAAATTAAAAAATAGAAAGTCACCAGGAGAAGATCAAATACCAAATGAACTCTTAAAATATGAAGGTGATTCCGTTGTACAACAACTGCAACTCCTTATTCAAAAAATAATCACCACGAACAGAATACCAGTAGAGCGATCCAGCTGATGTTCTTCAAGAAAGGTGATAAGAACGACCCCAAGAATTATCGAGCAATAAATCTGTTAAATACAACACTCAAATTGACAACAAGAATAATAGCGACAAAAATAAACGAACGAATAACTCTGCAAGAGGAACAGCAAGGATTCCGGATAGGAAGATCATGCACGCATGCAGTTTTTGTAATAAGAGAAATAAAAGAAAAGTCGCTGGAATACAACAAACCAGTATATATGTGCCTGATAGATTTGAAGAAAGCGTTTGTTAGAGTGAGAATTCCGGACGTGATACATTTATTATATGACAGGGGAATACCACTGGATTTAGTAAAAACTAGTGAGAATATATATAAAGATAACATAGCCTATGGTAAGATGTAAAGGAAACATCTCGCAACCTATCAAGTATGAAACTGGCATTAGACAAGGAGATTCGCTGAGCCCACTAATATTTAATCTGATAATGGATGAAATCATAAAGAAAGTTAAAAAAGAAGAGGATAGAGAACGGGAGAAAAGGAAATGCAGATATGCTACGCCGCCGACGCCATAATAATAGCCGAAAATGAAGATGACCTACAAAGATTAATTAAAGAATTCGAAGATACGGCGCTCATATACAACTTGGTGGTTTTAACAGAGAAAACTAAATCGATAGTGATCAGCGGAACTGAGACGTTGTAACCTGGTCGTAAATAACAAAAAAAATAGAACAAGTGATGGAAACGAAATACTTGGGAATCAAACATTCAAGCTAATGAAAAGTGGAAGAAGAAGTACACAAACAAGTGAACATGGCGAACAGAGCAGCAGGATGTCTCAACAATACAATCTGGAGAAACAAATACCTCACAACGGAAACGAAAAATAGGATATATACATCAACAATAATACGGATAATGACGTATACCACGGAAACAAGAGCAGATACGGCGAAAACACAAAGATCTTTGGAAATAGCATAAATGAAAGTCTTAGGAAAAATAACAAACCAAACTCTAAGAGACAGAGTAAGAAGTGAAAAATTCGAGCGAGATGTGGTATAGAGGAAATAAACCTGTGGACCAAAAGAATAAAAATAGAAGAGAATGGAATCAACACATAGAAAGAATGACACAAAATAGAACAGTACGAATAGCAAGAGACAAATCGCCAAATGGAAGAAAATCAATGGGACAACCGAGGAAAAGATGATCAGACAACATCAATTGAGGCTAAAAACTGAAGTAAAACAGACATGAGTCTATTAATAAAGTAGGAAGAAGAAGAACTTCGTTTTTTGACGTTTTAGTGGACCCTATCATTTTCGAAAGAAACATTGTAGGGGTTAACGATTGGAAGTGGTCCCCTGATGGACAAGCGTCATCGACGGTGGCCGTACATCACTCTTCCGCACTGCCGTGGAATGTGTACAGACTGTGTATGTTGTTTTGCACACACTGATAATAATTATAGACAGTCTCATTCCTTTTACAGCGGGAATGGAGATCACAAAAAAGTATTGAATGCAGCAAAGTTGTTTGTGTGTTTTTTCTTGGCGAACCCAAAAAACCGATAGTAAAAATTACCTTTGTGGTGTACAGAGAACTTTCTTCCAAATCTACGAGAGCGTTACGGGACAGCTCCTCGGCAGCTTCAATATCGTCATCAGACATAGACTTTAACTGATCACAGATATTGTCTAAAAGTTTTTGTAGATGCATAAGACTGTTGTAGTTTTCAGAGTGTTCTGGCACGCCGCAGGAATTGCATTTTACAAAGTTTTTGTAACAACTAAACGTCTTGAATTCCATACTAGGAATATACGAGAATTAATAAACGTTTTGAATTTTATGAAAAAACGAACACCTACCGAGATGGTTTTATCACAATAATATGACTATCTGGAAAATGCGATCGCAGTAATATTGCAGTGTTTTCCAAATTCCATTTTAAATAGTTTTTGTTATCCCTATGACTTTGCATATTTTCTGTGAAGTCCTACAAGTAAGATACACGTCAGACTTTACCCCGATATAACAGGGTCCGGCACAAAGGACGGATGTTTTTGAAATGGCTCAAGTACTCTCCACCTATTCGGGCGTTCATAGCGGTAGCGATTACGGACCAGTGGACGACTGATTATCACGTTTTCGCGTACGACAGTTTTGACCGACCTAATGAGTCTGTAACGCAGGGGCGGCTGGCACTTAAGTTCTGCAGAACTACCAAAACTTTTGTCTCAACAGAAAAAAGCAGTACTAATTTGATCATTATTTATTTTCCATGTTATCACACAAATAGAAACAATACCGGCCTGCCCCCGCAAGACACGGCGTCGAGTCTGTTTGTACTGAGACAGCATTATAATCGGCCCATTGTGTACTTGTCAATTTCGTCGCGACCGCAGCGTAACATTATTCATGGGCCACTTGAAAAGGGTCTGGGCACTACTTCGACACAAGCCGCACGCGCTTGCTTTTGTCTCTCTCTACAAAATTAAACGGGCTATTTAAGCATAAGCATGTGTTGCAATTTATGCAGATCCGTACAGATCTAATGCGAAGTACGATATCTGATTGGTCGGTCGGTCCTCGGCGGTATTGGCATATTGGTCTTGTCGCGTGAGGTGGCTTAAAATTTGAATGCGAAAAATTTTTTATTTAGGTATTTTGGGTCTTACGTTGAGTGACTAATGACTCACTGACTGACTGTGGATATGTAGAAGGGTAGTGCAAGACAGTGGATGTGGTTTACAGACTTATCAGCGTGAAACGATTCTGG